CACCAGGTCGGTGTTCAACTTCAGCTTGCAATCAGGCTTCTTCGCCAGTGATGCCAACTTCATCACCAACCATGTTGGGAAATCCAAAGAAAAAATGGCAATCTCCACAGCACGGCGAAATCTGCCTCGAGGAAAATGCAAGTTGCTGAGATCCTCTGACAAAACTTCCAAAGTTTCGGAGCCCACATACTTAATAGTTGCCCCACGGTGTGTATATGGAACTTGAGTTGGGTGACGAAAAACCAAAGGTTGAACTTCAATCTGAGCCCTTGTGATTTCCCAAGGCACCAGCTGTTTGATGTCCTGGTAGATCTCCATCTCAGGCTGCAAAACGTAGTTCTTCATGGCCGATTGCATGGTCATGATGGCAGTTGCTTGATTCATCACCTCTTCCCAGTTCGCCGCATCAGCATCTGGCATGGAGTAGTTTGCAAACACTTGCTTTGGTGCAAATCTAGTTGGATTGTTCTCCTTGGCGACGAGCTTGATGCCCTTGAGAATTGCCGTCACCAAGTCATAGGGATAGTGTTGTGAAAGGGTCACTTCTTTCCCTTCCAAAGGAACGCATAGAGCTCGTTCTTCCGCAGTCAAAACCTTGGTGAGAAACTGCAGAAGCTTGGGGTTGTAGGAGGCAAACTTGAAAGTCTTTTTGATCATGTTGCCCTTGCTGTTGGTGCCACCATATGCACCACTGTCGCACTTCACTATCTGACCTCCCGTGGCGTGCAGCATGTTGAGAACATCTTCCTCATCCCAAATGCGGCTTGGGCCAGGGTTTTCAATCAGATAGAAACGTCCTTGAGCATGTTGATCCAAGCCTCGGTCCATTGCAGCTTTCACTGTGGGACGTTCTTCTTCTCGGCGTTGTTCAAGTTCTTCAGGCCTGTTGACGTAGTTGCAATTGTCCTGCAGCAAAGTCCATGGTGTGCAATGCAAAGATTGACAAAGTACAAGAGGCTTCAAGTAGTCAACCATGTGCTTGCACTGCAGTTGGCCATCTTGAGAAGAGAGGTCATAGCGGGTGCTGTAGTCCACTGGAGTTGCAGCAATCAAATCAAAACTTGATGCCCTCGAACTTATAGGTGCGTTGCCAGCAAAGGTCTCGAGGATGTCAACTCGGCATCTCCTTGTTCTGTGTCTTGTAGCCAAACTTTCATAGAGCTTCATCTCAGCTTCCATGGCATGCTTGGCTTTTCGAAACTTGCCGATGAGGTTCTTCTTGTGGCCTTTCTCCATCATAGGTACTGGTCCTCCTCCGTGTTGTCCCAATCCCATAGTTCGAGCTGGCTGCCCGTCTCCTCGAAGTCCATGTTGTCCAAACGCATCCTTGCTCTCATGCCACCTTCGATGATCTGCTGTTGCTCCCTATCGTACTCCTCCAAGAGACCTTGTCGTCGAAGAAAATCTCGATGACTGAGCTCCTCCGAGATCACGTCGGCACCAAGCTGCGTCAGATCCCCATCCTCCAACGGTGGATTCGTAGTGGAAGTCAAAGGCATTGCTGAAGATCTCTGGGGTCTGGCTCTGGCTTTGCTCGTAGTGGATCTCGGTGGTGCCTGCAAGGTATTTGAAGAGGATGGCACAGGCAAAGAAGATTTTCGAGACGAAGGCTTTCCAACCATTTCCCATTTCTCGAGGTTGGTGTTCCACTTGCGCACTTGGTGGCATAGAAGGCATTGGCTGTAGGAACCGCTTTTGTTTCCGTACCTTCGCCATTCCGGATGTTGACAATCCGACTGGCCCACCAATGGCTCCTTCTTGGTGCGCATCATCTGCTCCTGCTGAACTCGCATCACATCGCTGTCCAGCAAAGTCATCCATGACCTTGGAGCCATTCCCAATCTCACCATCATACTCATAGCTCGCAGCGCCGCCAGCTCCAAGTTGAGCACCAGCTGGAGAAGCAAACGCCATCGCTTCAGCCATTGAGGTGCGGGTTGCCGAAGCATCCTCAACTGCGAAAACACCTGGAACAGGGCTTTGAGCTTTCATAGGCTCCAAGTCAGTCACACCTGGAATGATTATCTCCGGGTGAGGGTTCTTCCAAAAACGCTCTTGAGATAGGGTTTTCCAAACTTGCAAACGATGTGAATCTTGATCAAATGAAGAAATGGAAATTGCCAAATGCCCCTGAAACTTGATGATGTCTGCCGTGACTCCAATCTTTCTGAAAAACACTTGTTGCTTGCCAATGTCAATGACTGCATCCAATGTTTCCAGCAAAGTATTTGAAGCCAAAAGTGGAATTGGTGTGTCAACCACACTTGCACCCAATAACATGTAAACATCACCAATGACAGAAGGAAAATAAACTCGGCTCCTCGCTGTGATAGGCTGCCCGCGGCCAAACTGGAATGCCTCGGCGCATGAAACACTGTGAGGTTGAAGCCGGAAATCTTGAAGGGCTTGGGCATGTTGGGTCATCCATTCCCTACCGCATACTGTTCTTTGACATGCCGTGTCCAAAACCATCAAACCAGCCATTGAACCACCCGCAAACATGACATCATGGAAAACCGCATTGGAGTCAATCATGAAGGTGAAGAATGGAGGTGTTTCAAGAGGTTCTTTAGGAAGTTGATGTTGTCCGCTCATGGTGAAGAGGACCTTTTTCGACTGCGGATTTCGAACAAGTAGCGTCTCCGGCACAATGTCCAAGTTCTCCACAGGCTGCACAGTGGGTATTCTTCTTTCTGTCTGCTACATTTCGATTTCCACTGAACTTGCGGCCCAAAGTGAGCGCCTGCAGTTTCTTTGCAGTCACCGTCAAATCTTCGGCAACTTCTCCAAAATCAACTTCTGGTTCATCTTGCTCTTGGTCTGGATCCTCGGCATCATCTCCGTTGCCGTCTTCGGCATTGTCATCAGGCTCATAGTTCTCATCCCCATCATCTTGCTGCTCTTCACCATCTTCTGGAACTGCCTCAAGCTCAGTTGCCTCAGTTGCAAAGGCCTGTCGAGGCTTGAATTTCCCTTTGCCCTTGCCCTTGTCAGAGCGGTATGTTGAGGCCGTTGAGGTTGTTGCCAATGATGAAGATGAGCTCGATGATGAAAATGAGGAAGGCTTACTGGTCAAACTTCTGATCGGGGTCCCATCCTTACCAAACAAAGGAGGCGCCTGCTTGTGCTCGGGGAAGGACATGCAAAGAGACTCAAGGATGGCGTCAAAGTTCAGGCTGTAGCGCGAACCAATCAAAGCCAAACGTTGGTTCTCAGGGCTCAACCTTGATCTTTCCAGCAAACGGTTTCCCCTGCTCTCATCATCATACATACCTTCCACATTCACACCAACAGATGTAAGAGCACGTTCAGTGCGGCGATATCTGTTTGCAAAGGCTCGGATGGACTCATTGTTTTGGCGGACTATGGATTCATGGTCTGCCAGCAACTTCCCTTTCTGATACACCAGTTTCGTCTGAAGGCCCTGACGAAGTTGCTCCTGGATGTACTCAATGCCAGTTGCGCTGTTCACCTTAGCCAGGTCACAGTTTTCCAGTTCTTCCTCAGCTTCGCCGCTCAGTGAGGTGAACAACAACAACGCAGCTTCACGTCTGTTCATGTAGGATTGAATCTGTAACTGCCAAACTGAAAGCTTCCGTTCCCATTTGACAAAAGATCTCAAATCCTCTCTGTTGTAGCGCCAAGCCGGTGGTTGAGGCGGCATACCACTGCGGTACTTGACACCTTTTTCAGGACCCATACGGCTGTTCCAAGATGCATCGCTCGATTTGCTGACGTGATGGACTGGGTCAGCAACATCACTTTCAATCACATCTCCAGCAGGTCCTTGAGCAAGGAAGGCATCTGAAGGCAGAGTTGGTCGTGCTTCAGGAACATCTTGACCTCGCCCAACATCAGAGTTGCTACCACGTGATCTCCTGGATCTCCGGTTCCTGCGTCTCATTTGAGGAGGCTCATCAGGATCTACAGATGGATCAAACGTTGCAGCTTCAGACTCAGCACGCTCATGGCCATGGTGGTCAGGATCATCATGAGGGGGTCTGTATTTTGTTGACCACATTGGAGCGCTAGGATTGCTAAAACCACGATTGTTCGAAGCCCCATGCAAAGCGGAACAGTCAGCCTGGGTGTCCAACCCATGTGAGTTACCATGCTTAGGCATGAAAAGCCAAACACCATCGTCAGTTTCGCGTCTCAAACTAGCTGCAGCATCATAGTAGCCCATGCTTCCGCACTGCTCGCAAACCCAATCGTCAAAAGACCAGATGAAGGCATCATGTTGACACGTCCAGCATCGCCACAGCGGTGGGTGTCCATGGTTCGAATCTGTTCCCTGGATCGAAGGCCTTTCATTGCGAGGCTCAAAGTTCATCTCAGCAATGAATGGCATCTTGCAGTCGGTGACTAGCAAGGTCTGCAGCTCCGGATACCAACTTGTGCTATCGTGTGCTCAAACGATAGACAGATCAAAGTGCCAAGGTGCAACGTAATCAGCACATGGCTATTTTCCGCAGCATCGGAAAAGCGTAATCGGCTAAGGCTAAAAACAAGGCTCGGGATCCTCAAAGAATCGCAGCATGCACATGCAATTGAAAGAGTGGTACCTGGCAGCATGTGTGACAACGGTGGCTGGCAACAGAAATTCACAGCACGAACACACACACACAAACCTATATAATAATGCATATATATATGTATATATATATATATATGTATATATATATATATATGTATATATATATATATGTACAAATGTGTCTTATAAGTTGGCCAACACCAAATATATGCATATCTATCCAATATATAATATATAATATGATCCATCCAATATATCCATCCATCCATATCCATCTAATATACCGTCTGGTTATTTAACATAGCCATGGACAATCCCAACCATAAATGGAGGTTTCTAGCTGGGAAAATCATCTATAAATGGGCCATTTTCCATGGCTATGTTAAATAAGCAGAGGGTAATATATGCATATCCATCCAAATCTAGATATCTCATCACTATGCAACATATCGAGACGCCGCACCTCTGGGGAGAAGACAAGTCTTCCAGTGGCGCGTAGTAGCCAGGACACCTCTTCGACGAAGGGGCTACGGAAAAATCCATCGTTAAACATGGTGATTTACCAGGATGTAATGTCAATGGATTGGTTTAAGGGAAAATCTTAGAAACCCATGGGTTTTTTACCATCAAATATTATAGGGGTTTCCTGTACAGTTTCCCATCATCCAATTCTGTGATAAGGGGAATATATCCATCAATGGAATATTCTCAGGCTTTTTTGGTGATTTCCCCACCAAAGACTGAGGTTTCAACCATCATTACTTGGGAGTTGACCTTCCAATGGTTGAGAAAATGGCTTGATAAAGAGGTAAAATTGCAAATGTTCCTCTCATGTGTGTGGCTACAATTCAACATAAGGGGTTGGAGCAAACCTCTAACCGTGGATATAACTAGCTAATACGAATATTGAAGCATGATTTAATAATCAACATAGATATTAATCAATTCAATGAATCACTGATTTGTGTTTTTTGTTTTTTTTTCCGAAAATAGTGGCTCAATAGTGACAGCGCGAAAAAAATGACAATGTTGATGGACAAAAAATCCAGGTGTCCTACTTTCTGACCATGACAGATCATTCAGATCTATGGTGAGGCCAGTCCAATACTTCCGTCAAGCCCAGTCCTACGCTGACCGGGTCCCCGGTCCAGGAAGCTTCATTGATCAGTGTTTTGAAACCAGAAGAATATCAAAATATATAAGTCTTATTGATATTTGAATATCAAACAAATACATAATATGTATAACATATATATATAATATTATATACATATCAGTCAGAATATCAACCATATTTGTATGTAAGTCATTTGTATGTAAGTCAAATATCAGAATATCAACCCAGTCACAAACCAATACAAACAAATATGAGACATATATAAGTCTTATTGATCTTTGAATACTCTGTCAATGATGTGTCCCTCAATCAAAACAGCCAACTCCACCATTCTTTGGATGGTTAAATCCAATTATATCCGCCATGTTCCCCATATTCCACTGATATTTTGCAGATGGTTCGATGGCTCAATCCCCCATGTTCATCAATTTTCGCCATATGTTTCATATATTTGTTGGGCAAAATCCATCCATTTTCCCCATGTTTCATCTGTTTGTGGGCTAAAAGTCCATCATTTCCCCAAATGTTCCCGGAGATTGTCCATTATTAACCATTATTCACCATTATTAGCCTCCAGTAAATTAACATAGACCCTGCCAGATAGGGCTTGGAAGACTAGTGAAACCACTCAAAATTGGTGATTTTCAGGGTCGAACTGTATGTCTATGTTAGTTTACCAGAGGGTACCCTCTGGTAAACTAACATAACTATGGAAAATCACAATTTTTAATGGGAAAACTCACTATAAATGGCAATTTTCAATAGCTACGTTAAATTACCAGAGGGTAACATCTAGAAAACCCCGGCCGAACCGAGCGCGGCCTGGGCCGTGCCACGTGCAGGGCATCGATCTCGAAGATCCGGCCATGGAACTCCTCCGGCGTCACCGGCGCCAGCAGGGCGCCCAAGTCGAAGCCGCCAAGCGACAACGGCGTGGTGCTGGAGTCCAGGCGCTGCCTGGCTTTCTTAGCCATCACCATTTTGGATACTGGAAGATACTGGTAGATATGATTTTAGGTTTGTTGTTTATTTAAAAAAATGGTATTATTGTACATGAGTGTGTTGTATTTTTCTTATTCTTGATATATTATATTACATATCACATCGAAATTTCAATATAATATACTATAGATTTTTATATCTCTTATCTCATCCAATCTGGTTGATATATGTTGATATATGTTGATATCCCAAATCATTCCTCATACACTATGACCTGACCAGTTCTTGAAATGACTGCAGGCATCCAGTATGCTTGATATGCTGTGCACCTTGACGTAGTTTCTGCTTTGGCTTTCTTCCTTTTCACCATCGCGATGGCTCAAGCGCTGGAGTCTCAAGACATGACGATAATTGACGATATACACTCCGGCGATTTGTGCCATATAGATGGCCCAGTCGTAGATGTTTTACATGTCAAAATTGTATAAAATTGTGATTTTCACTAGCAAAGTGTCAAACTACCAGATGGAAATGATACCAGGAGAACTTTGTCAACAACCTGCTGCCAATCCTCTCAAAAGAGCAAATAAGTGGTGGGGCTTCTATGCTGGTATAGCCTCATTAGGTAAAAACTCTCATACAAAGCCAGCCGCCATGATCCACACAGATACTGGGGAACACATCAGCCAATGATGTTCAATGAGCCACCAGGTTACTGCGCAAACGCGGCCTCAGTTCCAACCCCACTGCTTCTACAATCCCAAGTGTTCACGCCCTAAAGCTCTAGGTAACCATTGCCAGTACTTTGCAACCTCCAGGCCACAAAGACCACACACATCAAAAGTATTCAAAAGTAGGTTCTTGATGTAAATCGTATGTGTCATTGAACATCTCTCAGGGCGCTAGTCGATCTTGTAGTTGCCCTGAAGGAATGTCTTTCTCATGTAGCATCCAGTACTATATAGCCTGGTTCAACTTGGATAACCAATAAACACACGCACATGTTAGCTGGGTGAAAAACGAAACACACCACACAACTGCAGCTTTAAAGCATGAATGTGGTTAAAACAATGTCGTAAACCACCCATGACTGGGAATGGTGGGAATGGTAACCATACCACCTATAAAAATGGTGATGACTGGGGGATGCTAAACATTGCATTGGTTTAACCACATTCCTGAGATGATTTCCATGGACCCCGGGCAGAAGACATCGAAGCTCCGCGATCTGGGCGTAACGAGTGGTGAGGGGCTCCGCATGTCGTGTTGGGGAAAGTGTTGTGAATGAGCAGTGACTTAAATGGTTCATAACTCTGATTATAACGCATCACTGAATTGGGATTGTACAAAATCGAAATATATCGAATTTCTATAGTGGATATAAGATGAGAAGGGATGATATAAGTGGATACCTCCACCTACTGATCAGTGAAACTGAGCGGTTTCTGAGCTTGGAGTGATTTTCTGAGCACCGTTACTGGGTGGAAAGGCAGCACATCTAATGCCATAAAATATCCCCAAAATTACCATGAGATACCATAAGTAGGTGGTAAAGAACATTGGCATGTTATCATATATTTTACATTATTTTACCATAGAAATCGCAAAGCACAACAAATTCATCATATGAAGTGGGATTTATCTGGATCATTTTGAATGAAGCACACACTTCTTGCCAGTTCACAACTCAGGCTTTGCAAACATGGCAGCACATCAAGCTCAAACATCTTCATGAAGGAAAGGTATCATGATTAGTTGAAGTTCTTTGCCTACAAATCTGGATAAAACAAACCTTGCCCAAAGCCAATGGCTCCTGCAAATCGACATGGTGCCAACAGTAATTTGCACTGCTGCACAATTCTCTCACCCCTGTTGGCTTCAATATTCATTTCACATTCATTTCACCACATGGACCCACCAGGTTCCCTGCCGAAATGTTTCCGGAACTGTCCTGAGGCACTGTGTGAAATGTGGCAGGCTCGGTGACCAGTGCTGTCTTACACAATGAAAGCCCCGCCCCAGCTCCCTCCATCGCCATCATGGGAATGCCTCTATACTCTATATATACTCTCTGGTTCAACATGGCTATGGAAAATCCAAAGTCCACAGGTTACGTTGCCAGAGGGAAACACCCCATGGAGGATTTGGCCCTGCCAAGCCTGGTCGTAGAGCTTAAAGATGCGTTCCTGCTCTGCACGTTCAAACTCCTGAGTTGCGGTGCTGCGACCGAGCGCTTGGTCGCACCATCTCGGGTAGATGTTAACTTCTCTACAAAGCTAACTATGATGAAAGGAAGCAGCTACTGCTACCGTCAATTCATGATTTTGCGGCAACAATGCGACGGTTTCCATGGCAACCAATCACGAATCAGGCTCTGTCACCACACTGTCTGCATGTTTAAAGTGTTACTTCTCAAGGGGGAACCACTACCATCCACTACCCCTCTGCTCCTCTGCTTTCAAATCAATTCAGTGTCACGAATTTAACAGTATATATTGGTTTGCAGTCATTTTCCCATGGAGTCCCATGTGGACAGTGGGAGCTTTTGAGCTCTGAAACCGTCTGTCTCAAGCAACCACCTGAGAATAAACTGCTGGAAACAAAGCACCTGAGCCTAGCAAACCATCTGTGGGGATCCAGCTCTCACTTTTCCCCACTCCAAACACACTTTGGATTTGATAACTGCCAAGCTCTGACACCCAAATCTTGTTTGTGTTTGACATGTGCACGACATGAGCACCCCCACGTCGTAGTAAGTCATGAAGGTTAAGAACTCATCAAAGTCCATGTAGTCGTACATGGTGATCTGGCATTGTAGCTCTCGACGTGGACTGTCAAAGAAACTGCAATGGTCAAATGCGGTGCTGCAATTATTCAATAATAGTCTTCTAATTAACCCACTTTGAAATGCAATTTGTTTTGTCAAGTCGATCCTGAACCATCATTTGCAAAGAACATCCAGTTGCGAAAAAAATCAAACATCGGACCGGATCTGACTGAAATGAAACCGAAACGAAACCCGGTGCAAGGCCTTGCGAGCCATCTCTGTGATTGCATCCTGGGAGGATCTGTAGGTCTGTAGGTGTGTATAGATATGTCGAAATATGTTGCAACCCACAAAAGATAATAATTATATATATATTATTATTTATGATTATATATGTTGTGTATTGTTTTGTCACTATTTTACTTACGAGATCTTAAACTGGTTTGTCTTTGTGGCAATATTGATTTATGATTTTGATACGCCTTTGAGGAACTACACTTTGAACGGCCAGCTTTGTTACCATTATCTGTTTCCTTCGCCTGAATCTTACCATTACATTAAATCATCCGGATATCATAGCCGTGCTACGAAATTAGTAACATCATTAAATCAAACATCCATAACTATAAAAATCACCCGGACTTTCGGTACGGACAACTCATCTCTATCACGGCTTTCACGGAAGGCCGAGGTCTTGCCTCTGGAGGCACCCAGCGTCCCACAAAGTTCAACAAGGCGTCCAAGTCATCCTGGCAGCACTGGTTTTATACAACCTGGTTGTCACCTAATGTTAGTACGGTAACTGTTAGATACTGTTAGTAAAGCAGGATCAATAGGATCCACCATCCGATCATCCTCATGTTTTGTTCATGCGGAGTCCAAGCACCATTTTTCTTGCCTGGTTTACGGCATTGCTTTAGCAACATGATTAGAGAATAGTGGGTTTTCCACCCATGTGTTAGCTTACTGGAAGGTAGCCTCACTGCCTGCTCCCAACTGGGATGATCATGCATGCGGGCGGAAACCATTTGAAGCTCCTTGCTGGACGTGACTAAGAATCTCACTATCAACAAGCTGTGAAACCGCAGCTTCAATCAGGATCACAGTGCTCCATGGTTGTGTCAAGGTGAATGGTTCTTGATGGACTTTCAGCTTTCCGGAATTGGAGGAAGGATGTTGAAGCCCCTACATATTCGGCCGTTAAAAAAACATAGAAATTCTGCAAACAATGCCTTAAGTCAGTCCATTGATTGATGATGTGCGACCATTTCAAGCTCTTCGCAAACTTCAGAGACCCTCTTCATCCCTCTTCATTGGCGAGCCCTGGGGTCCTACTGCAAGAGTAGCTATTCAGAAAGTTGGTCTTGACTGGTCTTGGCTTGCCTTGAAAATTATGTGAAATGGAAATTGTGATTATCATGTGTTTTTCTTTTTTTAAAAGTATGTGTCATTTGTGTTTGCTACTCCGACCAAATTTTGGGTTATTGTTGTTTAAACTGATGATGTGTTTTATCATTGCTTCTTATGTTCCGTTGAATTTCCCTTATGTGTTTTTTCCCCGACCACAAATATATTTATCTATGTTTGTTCTCATAGTTTGCATTGTTTTTTTGTTCCGTAGTATTTGTGTTTGTTGGCGTTTGTTTTTCAATCACGTGTATTTATTTACATATTAGTATTTGTTGTAAGTATATATATATGTATGTGTGTGTGTTTAATCTTGCAGTTTTCATAGTGTCTTATTTTGTTGGCACCTTCCGTTAGGCACCCTTCAGGTAGGCCCCCAGTTCTGTCGAAAGACGTCTGGAAATCAAACATATGGCAATAGACATTTCGGAAATTGAGCATTTCGCTTTTTTTGATGACTTTTCCAAATATAATATATATATATATATATAATATACAATATACGTACAGTATACACATACTCATATATATATACTGGTTGGTGGGTTCAACCCCTCTGAAAAATATTAGTCAGTCAGTTGGGGTGATTATTCCCAATATATGGAAATATAAAAAATGTTCCAAACCACCAACCAGCATATATAGATGCCGTTGTAAAGTTCGGGGATTTTCCAGCCCAATCCGATCCCTGCCTTGTGAATATCCGCGGAGTCCGGGACCTGGATGTTCAGGCTCCCAGGTTAGAGGCTTTAGTACACTCCAGTGGCCTCCTGCCAACTCTCATATAATCCATAGATATGGAAAACATTGGAAAACATGGGAAAACATTGGAAAACATCGGACAAGCCACCATGATCTATACCATGTATAAATCATTTCCAAGCTAAAGCCATTGATGTCCATAGCCAACTTAGTTTAATGGGAGGGTAATGTGTTTGGATATCCTGAATATCTTTGGAGATTGTACGAGTATCTGGATGTCGCGCAGCCATCCCTCCTCACGTAAATCAGTTGTACCTTGGCTCCTCACCAACTGGTATGAAGATGTATGAAAACTGTAGCCGGAACACTTACATGACCAGGAATCATGACTAGTAAGCATTCCTACCAAGTCTGACAGGTCTCTCTTCCTAGGGCTTCCCATGCGTTGAACGGTGGAACTCCCCACTGTTCCCAACCGCGCCTTGAATCTGAGGAAGGCCGCGTGCAAATCTTCTTTCTGAGATCAGCGTCCAGGGTGGTTTTTGAAGGGAAAACCTACGGAAAATCATGGTTTGTCACCTCCAAAGTAAATATAATATAAGATAATAACATATTGGGTTTCCTATGGTTTCCTGTAGGTTCTTCCTTTATCCTTCAAGCAACGCTGGGGAAAAAAACAACACGATTGTCCCCACCTCGGCTTCGTCGAAGCCGCTGGATTCTCCCCGGACCCGCGCCAGCGTGCGTCTCAGCCTTGGCCGAAGGCTGGCTGTGAAAAACAGGGCCCATTGACTTCCAAAATCTTCCATAGATCAACATAAATTCAACATATATGGGGATGGGTCAAAACCCTGTACCCCTGGTGAACATCAAAAAAGCTGGTAAATGGATGTTCATCCCACTAAAAATGGTATTAATAGGTATTGATCCATAGCCATATGGCTTTGTCCAAACTACTGTTTTTTCCAACTATGAGTCAATGACATTTGTTCTCCAAACACATGGCATTTTGATGCAATTTGTATGACTCGATCAAGGGGAAAAGTGCGATAAACCAGTGGATTTAGGGGTGCACTATAGTGAGAAACCCAAGATCAAGTGATTCGATTGGAGGGACACTTCAGAGATTTACATAATTTGAATGCAGCAGATTCCGCAAAAGTTGGGCTGCCATCAAGGTGGATGAAGAGATTGGCACAAATAAATTTATATAAAGTTATGATTAATTAAACATAAATGAGATAAATCCAACAACAACATGACTAAGTACAAAAAAAAACAATAAGTAATTACTTCCATGTATTTCAGGGATCAAGGCATTTCAACCACAAAATGACGACATCTCTGGCCCCGGCAGCTTGGCGATCTTGGGGTCCTGAAAGCTCCAGCGGCTCCAGGCAATTTGGAAGGTCTAACTTCCCCAGCTTAACCGATGGAAATTCCCATAGGAAAACCATAGGAAAACCATAGGAAAACCATAGGAAAATGGAGGTTTTAATGGGAAAACCCTAGGAAAACCATAGGAAAACCATAGGTTCACCCTCTGGTAAACTAACATAACTATGGAAAGATCCACCATTTTCTAGCTGGGAAAACTCACTATTTCTATGGCCATTTTCAATAGCTATGTAACAAATTACCAGAGTGTAACATTTACCATCCATATACCCCAAATGTTAGCATATATGCCAGCACCATGGATCCGTCATGGGATTGAATATTGTTCGCCTCGTTGGGCCTTTTGCCAACGTCTTATGACCGCTCTGTCACAAGCCTAGGGTTTTTCCCCTGCACTTCATATCCTCTCCATCGAAGAGCAAGGAATCTTCGGCCACCACTTGCAACACGGCCTGAGGCCGCAGGACCGAAACCATTAGCTGAGCAGTGCCATGAGGAAAAACCAGCGAGTCTTATGTTCTTCACGTGTGTCCGAAAAGCCAAGATTTACCACATTCAATCTTTACATTCAAAAAAGTAGGGCTCCAAATGCTGGGTTATCAACAAGTGCAGCAGAGGCTGTGACAACACCAAGGTCAAAAGTCACGAATCTTCCTGGTGAATCCCTGTTTTGAATAGTTAACTAATGGATCGCCCATAGGTCATCCAACTTGGAAACTACCGGATCGTTCGGTTGCTGCGTGATGCCTCATCCTCTTTCTCTTCCCCTCAGCGATCCAACGCTTTCTGAAGAGCGGGAAAAGGGAGGACACAATGGACAAATAGTGGATTTTTAATCCAAGGCTAAAATTTCTAAGGTTTCTTCCTGTTTTTTCTCACCGCCATAAAACAATCCGATTGGTGGTGGCCAGCTTCCTGCAGGATGCCGACCTCCCAGCTTGCCTTCAATCTCATGTAAAATGGCGCCACCCTACCCTCTGGCAATTCAACATCTCATGGAAAATCACCATGTGAGGGGTGGGTAAGTCACTTATCAAACTAAATTGGCCATCTATACCCTAGCAAACTGGTTCCCCTGCAGCCACGAGCTGTTCCTTTTTGGACCTCTTGTCTATTCGCTCTCGTCGCTATCCGCAGCCCAAAGGTCTTGGCTCAACTGGCCTCTGAAGTTGCCACCAGAAGAAGTCGTCACCTGAAACTGAAAAAAAAAACATGACTCATCATGACTTCAAATACTTGGCCGATCTTGGCCAATCGGTTACCGGTCAAAAGCTTGGTACCCCGTGCTTCACGCCAAAATAGCTTGTATATAGCTTGTATATAATTGCTGGTTACCATCCCCCCCAAAAAAATACATTTTTTTTTATAGTTTATGCAGTAGTAGGTTTTCGATTATTTCCCCAATCCATCATTGAAAGCAGTGCATGGAAAGCCTGAGATTCACAAGAATCGTCACAAAGGATGGGTTTGAAGGAAACATATACCAATCTCCCTCCGGGTTTGTCTGAGAATGGGGTATACCGGCATACTCCCCAAATGGCTGTATAAAATTTGGGAACATGATTATGAAATACTGTGAAAATGTATGAACAATCAAAGTTGCTGGGGCACTATATTTTCAGACAAACTTCCAGATTTCATCGGGAAAAAAACAGGCAGTTTCCTGCAAAATTTTCCCAACAAAAACAACCAATTCATTGACCACCCGTCTCTCATCCAGTCGCGCGATCCCCAGGAATGAAATCCTCCTGGTGGCGGAGCGGCAGTAGCGGAACAAGCCATGGAGGTGGCTTCCCTACTTCCTACGGAAACTGTCGACATGTCTCTGTCGACGGGGCATATACTCCCAAATGGCAATGTAAATAGGTACATGTAAAAATATGTAAACATCGCATCATAAATCAGCGAATGACCTGCAATTATCATCACTTTTACATGGTTGTCAAACAATTTCATGGCTTTTCTCCATGTTTTCCCCATGTTTTTCCCACGCAGTTTGCGTCAAAAAATGCTGGATCTCCTCATCTTCCGCCGTCTCCACCGAGCCGATGGGCTTTCGGATGGGATTGCCGCGGCCATCAAAGTCGTAGTAGGAGACGATGCGATTGGCATCGATCCTGGCGAGGGCAGCCAGCCTCACATCAGAATCAATGGCCATGACTCAGGAACCGATTCATTGGAGGTACCTACCATATATATAAGGCCTATGTAAGGGAATCCCCACAAAATATGGCCTTATATGGTACTAACGTACCTCCATTTTAGGATCCTGAAATTCCCATTGACCACAGTTATGGCCCCGAGTTATACCAGTTATAGGATGTAAGTACTAAGAAAAACCCAGTTATAGAATGTATAATCCCATTTTTTACCAGTTAGAACTGTTATAACTATAATAAATGGCCACAACATGCCATAACTGCAGGGCTATGGGTTTTGAAGCGTTCGTTTCATTTCGATTAGGCATCTAAAGGACTTCAAGTGAAAGTGGCACATGTCATGGTATTGTGTATAGTTGTGATATGATTTGACATGGGATTCTAATGGGATTCTAGATGAAAAATGGGATTCGGGGATGTCATGGGATATAATTGGGCTAAACTACCAGAGATTGGGGTTTAATGGAGAAGCGATGGTGAGCTAGTTCACCCTAGTGAAACTGCACCAATCCTACTTAGCCATAGACTACTATAGTTCACATGCTGGAAACATCTAGGAAACACTTTTCTATAGGGGGTTTTCATATAGAAGCAGCTGCATCCGGTGCATCCAACTTGACCATCTATTGTCCTTAACCATCTCACTCAAGCTACCCTCTGGTGAACTAACATAGCAATGGAAAATGGCCATTTATAGTGGATTTTCCCATGAAACATGGTGATTTTCCATTGCTATGTTATTTCAAAAGAGGGTACTTGCTACAACCGACTTAACCATCTATACACCTACGAACGGTGATTAAGCCACCAAGGTTTCATCGCAAAGTCCTTCGAGGCTTCTCTTCTCCCGCCAGGCGCAACTTCAGCCATCGATCATCATCCTCCTGGAGGGTACCGCGGAAGAACAACTCCAAATGGCAACGGGATGTCCCCTTTAAATGGGCATTTAAATCTGAACAACATCTATCAATGGGGAAATTAACCAAGAAAACAATGACAGGGTGTTTAACATGTTTAACCAATCATGGGTGATTTATATAATGGATGGATTGGTTCCTACTAGTTAATTGCTATACTTGTTCAACCATCCAATTGTGCGGTCCATGATTTTAGAGCCATAATAGCCATAGCCATAGCATCCTTGCCGGGAAACATAGGGTCTTGCTCCTGACCTGGGCCATTAGTTTGCCTACTTCAGATCAAACTATGCTCATATCTCTTGATGTCTGGTGTTGCAAAAAATGGACAAAACATGACCAACTATAGTTCTCACAATGTAGTCAGGACTGGGCATATATTATGCCCTATATATGTAAAAGAATTCACTATATATGGAGGTTTCCTAAAATGGCCGTAGCCCCCAAATCATCCAAAATTAAACGATTTTAGTAATGAAACCCATGGTATCCCATGGTTTTGGGGATCCCCCCTTTCAAGAAAGCCCGATATCCAATGGATATCAATGGCTAAACAAGGTTTGTCAGCTGACAATGACCAGTGAATCTTTTGCTCACGGAGGTTTCATCAGGTCAATCCGCATGTCATGGACGTCATGGCAACGAAGAATCCCATTTCTGAATGGGACAAGAATCATAGATTGGAAACGTGTCAAAACAGGATTGTCTATTGCCAGGTCAAATCATTGACAAGGGTTCGATGCCAGCCTATCCACAAAAGGCTTCCCAGTTTTCACATTATGTGTTTTATGTAATCATGATGATTTTCATTGATTTTCCAGGTGCTAACATACAACACATATTATACTGGTTGGTGGTATACCTACCCCTCTGAAAAATATGAAAGTCAGTTGGGATGATTCTTCCCAATATATGGAAAATAAAACAAGTTCCAAACCACCAGCCAGTCTAGATGACTGTATCACATCATGTAGCGAAATTCGAAGGGCTCCGAAGGGCTCCCCAAATATGGATCCCGTCCCCTTAGCACCGACCGCCCTAACCGCCTGACCCTGCCCATCTCCTCCTTCTGTCGTCGAGGGTCACCACCTTTTTAGCGCTGCTTGGAGCTGGTGAATTGTGGCTGAATCATGCTGGATCATCTCTTTTTCACAAGGAACATCTAGGAACATCTAGGAACATCTAGGAACATCTAGGAACATCTAGGAACAACAACAACAACAACAACATTCCATGAAAATCCATGAGACCTCTTTGAATTTGCTTAAGAATCTTCAAGCAAATCTTCAGCAGTCCAGGTCCTTTGGGTTGAATCAGCCCGTGGAAATACAGCGTCCATGAATTCTTGGGCACACGCACCAAAAAAATCCTGGTCAGCTTGATGCTCCATGAAAATCTTCATTTAAGCCTATCTCTATCTATTGTTCATCGGGGGATTGTATACCCCTCCATTTTTTATCAACCAAGCGGTGGGAAAATGACATCCGTGATGCATCATGATGCGTACCTGGTTGACCAAACAAATGGATAGCTGGTGGTGTGGGTTGCTGATCATTTCGCAAATCCATAGGGATACCCCAAAATCCCAGGGATTTGTCAGCATGTTCCTCATTTAGGGGCATTTTACTAGTACCACCTGGTTATGACTAACATAGCCATGGGAAATGGCCCATAGAAATAGATGGTTTACCTAGTAAAAATGGTGATTTTCCATGGCTATGAGGCTATGTTAAATAACCAGATGGTATACACTACGTAGTTAGTTCCCTCTTCAGACAGCACCACATATCATATTACATCATATTGTTGGTATTGCGTCCGCTTATATTCAATCACATCCAATTAACTAGATTATCCAGATATATCCCGCCAAAAAAAAACATGGAATCTTCAAACAGTAGGTCCGAAAAACAAAAAATCCCACAGGATATACTACGGCCATTTGCCTATGGGCCAACACCCTGACATCCAGTAGTTCACACCAAAATAGAAGGGAATTATGGCTGTTCATTACCAACAAGCACATTGCGTAATGCAGTAGGATTGAACATCTTTTGACATGCTTTAACTCATCACAAATTCGACCATTTTTTTGTTATGCATCCTATTGTTGACTATATACCCCATTCGCCCATCTTATCCCATTGACAAGATTCATAGGTTTTAATCTGTGTCATAGGTCTTAACCCATCACTAGACACATAATTAGATGGGTCATGATGGGTCATGGGATGAAGAAACTGTTTAGTAGCTGGCTTAAAAACAAACAAAAATCATGCCATATCCCAATTACAAACCATTTACCCTCTGATAAACTAACATAACTATGGGAAATCATCATTTTACTAATTTTACAAACAAAAATGAACTATAAATGGCAGTTTTGAATAGCTATGTTAAAGGGTACTACCTAGTCAACAAATCTCATCCCCCTAATAAAAAAAAATATATATCTCCTCAATGGTCCCAACTATGTGGTTTCATCCCCCACATCCACCATATGGTTGCTGTTGAGATTGGCTGAACGGGAGGGATGAACTCCATGGCCCCAGTATGCTACTATCATATCATATGAATATATGAGCATGTTACTACCTAGATTACCATGATCTACCTAGAAAAAACTAACTCTATGGGCCCAATGGCCCAGGGATGCCCAGGGCCTTCCTCTCGCGACATCTTCTCCCGCTTCTTCTGCGCGCCCGACTTCTTCTTCCCCGCGCGTTTCCTCTTCCCGCGCGTCTCGGGCATGGAGGTCCCGGCGTCGGAGGCGATTGGAGCAACGGCCACCGACTCCTGGCGCGTGGTGAACATGAACGAGACAATGATGTCAGGTGATGTCAGGTGGTGAAAGCCACAAAGTGAAAGTTAAAAATCATGAATTCAATTGAAGTCATGTTAGATGAATGGCAATCAACAAATCAACCAGATTTACTGCGATGGAAAATTCCATCAGCCACATCTTAAATGCCAATCTCCGTTACTCAACTGTGAAAGTCATGCTATGTCATGCTACCTCCCCATCTCAACCATCGATACCCACAGGAGGCCGTCAGGATCTTCAAGCTCCTTGTCTTCACTCTCCGAGTCTGAGTCTTCCTTCTTCTCAGCTGCTGATGCTGCTGTGCTAACTTCTCCATCCACCGTCTTATCGATGACCTCGGCATTTGCCTCCGCCACATCATCATAGGCCTCAGAAGTGAAAAATGATACTATACAATTCGGACATATGATCCTGATTAGCGACTGATTGATCAGTTTTCTTATTCAGAACGCGTTTCTCTTATGAAACACGGCTCAAGACTCACCAAGCCCTTTGCCTTGCACCTGGAAACTCTACCCTACCCTACCAACCCCGCTTAGGCGAAAAACATGCTCAACGACAGGTCGCTCCCAAAGTATGAACAACTTTTGGCTGGGCCGTCTGGGTCTTGAAACAGCACAACCATACTGTTCAATCTCAGCTGGCTACAACATCAACACCTCTCCACCCTACAAAAAGATCAAAAAGCGGATAAACATTATAATCACAACATATCAGAACGTAACAACAAGTCAATAGAAGTCAATTTAACCGAACATGTGTCCGTTTCACATTGAATATATCGGATTTCTTGGTTTGTGGTTTCAACCCGTCTGGAAACCTTCATGAGTCAATTCGGCTCATCATCCGGCTCGTCCCAAAATAGGTGCTGGAGAAAACAGAACACAGACCGTTAAAAACCATTGACCGGTTTCATAGGTTTCCTAGTTATCATTGGGAATTTCAGGATCCTAAATTGGAGGTACTGTACCATATAAGGCCATATTTTCTGGGTATATCCCCTTACATAGGCCTTACATATATAGATATATATATATATAGGCCTTATATATGGTAGGTACCTCCAATTTAGGTTCCTGAGATGGCCAGTGATAGTTACCTTCTGTTAATTTAACAGTTCGCTATTGAACATGGCCCATAGAAATCGTTGGTTTACCGAACTTAAAGATGGTGATGTTCCGGTTCGCTATGTAAACGTTTGCCAGAGGCTACCATCCATTTCCATTGTGATGATTGATCTCCCCGATCGTTTTGATGATGAATTCCTCATGTTTTTCTGATTATCGTTCCACTATGTTCAACTATATCCAAATACCCCATATCTATATATTATCTGCATATATATATGTGTGTGTGTGTATCCCACTACATCCCCATTCCTACAGTTCTGGCCATTTATGAGTCATAACTTCTGCTAAATGGCATTATACATTCTATAAATGGGGTTTCCTTAGTACTTTTAACTGGTATATAAAGGGCCACAACTGTATCCCATGAACTCCCCATGTGTTCCCACTGCTGAACCCGCGGCACCAAGGTGCAGCCGATGGCCTTCCCGACTCTGAAGCCAGGCGCAGACGGACGATTTCTTTCGCTTCGCGTTCCAAGTCTTCCTCGCTGTTCGCCAGGGGAACATGTCAACCCAAAATGAAGAGTTTTTACACGTTGAAGGCTAGGCGGATTTCATTTTTTGGTTGGTCCATCCCTGATTCATGGGTGATCCCAATGAAGCCAGGGATTTGTTGTTGAGCCTGGTTTCGAGCCAATTTACAGGGATTAACCATCAAACATGGTGAAAATATGAGCAACAAATCATGGAAAAACTCTTGTAAGTTGATCCTTATACATCTTTAGATAGCTTTGGCCAATGAGGGTCTTGCACTAACAGGGGGAGGACTCCGGTCAGAGGATTGGGCGAAATCTGAACATCACCTCAATGAATAGTGATTCAATGTGATTTATACATCAAAAATGGTGGTCTGATGGGAATATCATGGGAACATAATGGTGGTATAATAGTGCTTTTAACCACTCAAAGTATCAAATTAGCCCACCAGAATAGTTGAACAATAGTTAAACAAACGTATCAAATTCTCAGGGGCAGGTATATGATTATGGGTCATAGACTCATAGACAGGACAACCGAAAACCCAACTTGTGTAGGGAATATTGTTTCAAACTGAACATGTTTTTGTGTCCCTTTTCTGGCATGCTGGGTCACGGTTATTAAGCAGTATCTTGGCACAGTCCCAAGTTGGGGGTGGTGCAGATGGACGAATATTTATGGGTATAACATGGATTGCACCATGGTAATGGCCCCTGTAGCTTGGGATGTAGCGCCTATCACTATCACTATATTTTGATATATTTTGTGAGAACCCCCCATATAAATCTGGGTAAATTATAATATTTCACTATATAACCTGAATTAAGGCCATTTGGGGATCATTTCTTTTACTAACTATGATTATAGTGAGGTCGCAGTGAGGTCGCTATAATTTACCCAGATTTATTGATTCAGGCTTGCCATGGATGATCGATCTTGATCAATATTGCAACACTGCGATCGGGATCTCCGTTATTTGACCCCCCAAATCTGAAAGTAAACTCTTTGTTGGGGGGAACTAGGTCAAACTAGGTGAAGTTATTGGGTACCAAAAGGGATTGCTTACTAAATCTTACTATAAGTTGACTACTAAAAATGATCGCACATGGCTTTGTTGGGGCATGTCCTGTACTGCCGGTTGTTTACACCCCCCCATGAGGTCATTTTGGGTCGCATCATTTCACTGCCGGTTCGTCTGAAAATGGGCTGACCGTTTACGGTGCCCATTTGGATCCACTCATCATCAGTATAGAAATTCACATGGCCATTTGGGATCATTTGGGGGCATAGTGTAATAGTGTATGCCTAATGTATGCCCATTTTTTAGGAAAACCGAGCCAAAGTCTCCCACTCTCTCTGGGATTGGAGCTTCTCGTCATCTTCCTCCAGGAAAACCTTCTTCTGCTTGGAGGACGTCACCAAGACGCCTCTGCGACCCTTGGGCGCCATCTGCACCGTTGCGCAGGCCCATTCGGGTCGGATGGCTGTCTTGGTTGCCGTCTTGCTTTTAGGCCATGGGATGCAGTTTCTGCTGTCCGTGTCTCAGAATCTGAGATGCTATGGCTGGTTTTCTTTTAATCGCTTGAACAAATATAATATGATTACTCTGTAGGGCATTGGATGCGCTTGCGGCTGTGGTTTGGTTTCTCGCAACAGTATTTGACTGAACGGCACTGGTCACTTGCAACTCCAATCATGAACAAACAGTCAATTTTTTTTTTGCTTACCTTGGGTTCATTTGTTGAAGCATTGTCGCCAAGTTCAATATTCATGTGCCTATCTTTATCTATGTCAGACACCAATTTTGAGCCAAGACCAGCACAGGACCAGCGAATGACCCGAGGCACTGAACGATGCAAAACATGTAATTACTTCGCAGCCAACCTAGTCCTAGGTTCCAAAAGTCGGCAACTATTTCATGGGACTTTGCTGCGCCCAAGAATGGAAGGAGCCACACAATGCATAAGTACTGCCTCCAACTTTGGGGGTGCCAACAAGTTTGAGACATGCTGAAACCAATCTGATGCAATTTGTCAGTCAAACAAGTGCAAGTTGGCGTACCACATGATAAAATGCAGCACTTCTGGGGCTTTACATTGTTCTGACCCATGATACAGTAACATTTGTTCGTTCAAACAGAATCTCTCCTGAGCACATGTTCCTCATGGCATTTCCAAGCTGGCAATGCAAAATTCCAAGATAATGAGACTTTAAGATAACTTCCCCTTACCAAAAAAAAAGGCAAATATTTAGACCGTTTGATGGTTTATACTTTATAGTGGGGAATACCATCTTTAACGTAAAGACCATCTTTATAGACCATTGGGGATATAGACCATTTGAAATAATGTGGTGAGCCCAATAGTAGACCCCCAATTTTGATGGTGAGTACCTTATACCAAGTCATTTCTGCTGGGGCAGGGTGCTGCCACGCCAGAACAGAGATTTTCATGGTGCCCCGGCCATTCTCCAAGGAAGCTGCAAGCGGAGCGAACATGCTTGATGAGTGACATGGATGAGGTCGTTAAGCTAGAATTATGATATATTAATATGATATAATATACTTACTTATGGTGATATCCCAACTTATGGTGATTATTTCATATAATATTTCATCATTGTCAGGCGTATTAATAAACTCGACAACCCCAAGTTGCATGACCCCGGAAATGTTGCGGGAAAGAAGTGCCGTAGCTATCCTCCACAGTCAAGGCCCTGTATTTCCCGAAAAGAAAAGACTGAAATTCAACCACTAGTGGATCATGGCCTCATGTTAAGATCTGCTGAATATGCATTGTTGCAATTTTCGCTCTCGGTAAATTGTTCCTTTTCCATCTCCTCTCACATATATATATACATACATATATTCTATCTATCTCTCTCTCTCTCTTTGAAACCCATTTCAAGACATCTGATCATCATATGTGTCAAATACTTGATAGTCAAAGTCTATGATAAAAAACAAAAAACAGCAAACATATCTTTAACAGACTTAACACTAATTATATAGCAATATTTATATAAAACATATGTACGTAATAAACACAATAACATACAAATCAATAATGCATAGTAACACATTGTTTTTTTACATCATTATTTGCAACAATATATAATAAAGTAATCAATACTTGGTGGTTCATTTCACTTAGTAAATGGGTTATATCATTATATCCCAGTTATACCCTCTGGTTATTTAACATAGACGTGGACAATCACCCTTTTTCATAGGTAAACCATCTATTTCTATGGGCCATCTATACCATGGCTATGTTAAATAACCAGATGTAACCAGATGGTAAGTGGAATAAGTATGAATAAGTGGGATAAGCCATCGCCAGAGCGCCTCGTCTCTCCTCTTCCAGGATCTCGGCCAAGACACCAGCCTTGAGACAGCGAAATCCCCACATGGATAGACCATGGGAAAATGGGAAAATCATAGGAACACCATAGGAAAATGGAGGTTTACCCTCTGGTAAATGTTTACATAACTATGGAAAGTCCCAATTTTATAGCTGGGTAAATCAACTATTTCTATGGTCCATGTTCTATAGCAAACTGTTGAATTACCAGAGGGTACTTTTCTATTCCTTTTGGGGCTTACTAATAGGGGAATCTTAAAGTAATACATCAACAGTTTGGGATGAAACCCCTCAATCGATTGATGGCTGGTTGGTGGTTTTAACCATCTTGAAAAATATGAAAGTCAATGGGAAGGATTATCCCATATATGATGGAAAATAAAAACATGTTTGAAACCACCAACCAAATGGTGATTTCATATACCCGGGCTGGCAACGGGATTTGAGAAGTGCCTAACTATATAGCTTACCTGGAGGTTTGCAAAGTCATGGGGTACCTGGGTACCCCAAATCATCCAAGTCATTGGACCATGACTTCGGATAGAAACCCATTGTGACTTGGGGATCCCGCACCTTAAAAAAAACAACACACACACACATTTATGCTAGAACGTTTAGAACAGCGCCCTTCACTTAGCCAGGACAGCTTGCCAAAGACTCAGAATTGGCAATTCATCGACTGAGTTCGGCACAGCCCAGCTCTCACCCTGCAGCCTTGCCAAGTGCTGAGACACCAAACACAAGGAGCCCTGGGGCCTTAAGTTGGATCCATGAATTGTCTCCTTCCAATGATATACTGCATATAGTGTCCCCCAAGAAGATAGAAAAGTTACAACCTGAAAAACGACGGGAAAATTTTTCAGGTTTGCAAACTTTTCCATCTTTAGTATCGACTGTAAATTTACAGGGTTTCCTTAATTTTGATGATTTTAAGTTCACAATTCCCTGTAAATTTACAGGCGATACTAAAGATAGAAAAGTTTTGAACCATAAAAAATGTTCTAATTATGACTTTTTCTCACGTATATGCAGACGATACTAAAGATAGAAAAGCTTGGAAAAGCTGAAACCCTGTAAATAGCGCACTTTTCCCATCTCCCGAGCCTACAGCTGTGATCGTGTCATTTTGAGTAGTTCTAAAAAGCCTTTGGCTTTCGTCCATGGCAACTTTTTTGCACTGGAAGGAAAACAGCAACAGACCTCCCTCAGGCCTGAACACTGCATACAAGCTGGAATGACCCCTCGAAAACAGACAAAAAACACGTGGTATGTTTGGAAAACTGAAAAAAATGGTACTTAGAACATTCTGAACTCTCTCTGAATTCCAGCCATCTGCGATAATTTGCTTGATTTAAGCACGCGTTTCCAGAAAATGCATTAATTTGCTTTCCATGGAGCTGTTCCGGGTCAAAACAAACACAATTCTATGTATATATATACACATTACATAGTGTCAAATTCTGGGTTGAAAAGCGCTAGTTTCTTCATTCTTCTCAAGCTCCCTCATTTGAAACAACTAGTAACTAGTCCAAGTCCTCACCATACATGGGATCTTCATCGTCGGACACATCCAAAGCATGATCTCCTGGATCGTCCCCGAGCAAATCTTGCATCTCCTCTTCCTCCATAGGTTCGGCCCCGCCGAAAGCAACCGTTGGGGCTGCACCGCCGTGGGATTCAAACCTGGGTCACCAATGAAAGATTTTAACACATTTATGTCATAAACAGTTGCATTTGTTTCATGAGAGGATCGGATATGCTGCCATTTAGTTGCCATAGATGTTTGAAAAATACAGGAAAACAACAGCCCCCCCAAACTGTTACATGAAAAGTATGTTCCAAATCCAAACCACTCTCGCACAACAAGCTTGTTCTTTTGCCCCTTCCCGAAGCGTACCGCCAGCTCTGCAGCATTGAGAGACATAGTGATTGTCAACACAACATACCGCTTGCCGATGGTTTTGCTGGAAACTTGAGAGGGTGGCAAAATCCGCTTCTCTTCCAAATCCACCACCAATGTGCGGTTTGGCTCTGCAGCAAATGCGTCCTAAGGTGGGTGCGCATGCAATTTGAATTGTTTAGATGGTAATGTAACATTTCAAACACATTTCTATCTTGATATCCCCCATGGAACTGTGAACATCCGGTGTAAAAAAAACAGTTCAAACAAACAACTCTGATTTTCTATCTTTGGTATCCACCAACTATTGAACAACCAAACTGCCAACCCTATTTTTAAAACCGCTGGCAATATTTCAAACTTTTCTATCTTTGATATCCCCCATGGAACTGTGAACATCCGGTGAAACAAAACAGTTCAAACAAACAACTCTGTTTTTCTATCTTTGGCACCCACCAACTATTGAACAACCAAACTGCCAACCCTATTTTCAAAAACCGGTGGAAGCATGCTTTTTAATTGTCGAGTATCATACTTTTGCTTTGATTTTGGAGCGAGAAGTTTCCCCTCCAGGGCTCTACCTGCGATTCTCTTGTCCCAGGCCTCCTTGGTTGCAAGCCACTGGGAAATTTGCACTTCCAACGGCGTGTTGATCCAAACTGGTAATTGGATCTCCTCCCCCCCATCCTCCGGAATGGCAAACCACGAGTGGAACCTTTCTCCCTTCAGCACGCAGTCAGCGTTCTGCCACGTGTGCTTGTAGGCCTGTGCCGAGGTTCACAAAAAGACATTTTATATGAACTGGCAGGGAATAGCAAACTTTTGTATCACCTGGTAACTTGAGGGAACGGTGCACATCAGACTACATTAGGCTTGGGAAATGGGAAAAAATCTCTAGTATCGTCTGCATATATGTGAGAAAAAGTCATAATTAGAACATTTTTTATGGTTCAAAACTTTTCTATCTTTAGTATCGCCTGTAAATTTACACAGGGAATTGTGAACTTAAAATCATCAAAATTAAGGACACCTGTAAATTTACAGTCGATACTAAAGATAGAAAAGTTTGCAAGCCTGAAAAAAACCGTCGTGTTTCAAGCTGTAACTTTTCTACCTGCCCGGGGAACCTAATATATATATACTATGTGGTTATATATATATATATATGTGTGTGTAGTTTTCCATTCAGGCATATACATATACTGAACAGGTTGCATGATTGAAAAGATCAAACAAATATGTGTATATTTATATATACATATATACTGACAACTTGCCAAAACCCATCCTCGTGATCAACTTCAGGAACTTACGTCATCCAGAGTAGATCTTTGAAACCACCCCTGCAAGCATTCATAATCCCGGTCAAAGCTGCTTGGTCACCACCAAAACACCAGTCCGAGATCTCTTTCTCTGTGACATGCCCTGCAGTGACCCACGCCCACTGGATGATGGCTCCATCTTTGTACTCCCGTAACTTCTTCACGGCAAATGCATCTGCAGCAAGGGAAACCCTTACTGGGCATTGAATGATGGGGACATCGTGTGGGCCCAGCTCTTTCTCAGACAAAGTTGAAGCTAAGGGGTTTGCAGGTACGCCACAAGCGGCACGAAGGTAAGCTGCCCTGAGCATGTGGAAGAACTGGTGGTACCTAGCAGGGAGATCAAGAAACAAAAAAATGGAAGATCTTGTCATTTCTATCTTTAGTATCCTCCAGCTATATACAAATATAAAAAATATAATATTGGTTTCTCACCCTGGAGTTTACAAAGACGTCTCTTCACCATCCTGCAAAAGAAACACTTTGGGCATCTTTGGAATCCCCAGAAAGTGTTTGCTCATCTAAAACCATATCTTCGTGCGATGGTTGTGCAAATATGCTGGGAAAACAAGATTCCAATATCATCCCTTTATTGGCTTTTACTTTTCTATCTTTAGTATCCCCCAGCTATTTTTGGGTGTGGACAAGATTCCCATATCCCTTTATTGGGTTTTACTTTTCTATCTTTAGTATCCCCCAGCTATTTTTTGGGGTGGAGAAGATTCCCATATCCCTTTATTGGGTTTTACTTTTCTATCTTTAGTATCCCCCAGCTATTTTTGGGTGTGGAGAAGATTCCCATATCATCCCTCTATTGGCTTTTACTTGTCTATCTTCAGTATCCCCCAGCTAATTGTGAGTTCCGACCCATGAAATTACAAACCATATATATATATATATACATATACATACATTTTTTTGGTAGCCCCGGTAAGGTAATTTGGCTTCATTTTTAAGGGTCTTTTTTGGAAGTTTTGCTCCCCGCCTGTCGTTCGGTTGCATGGTCGCACCGAATCCGCCCGGGACTGGGCAAGGCCCATCTACGTCTGCCCCCAGCAAGATCACGTTGTTCTCTTTGGCCCAGTTGGCCCTCAAGGTTCGGAAGATCTGGGATTGGTGTGATGGAGCTCGATCACAAATCCCGAGGCAAGGAGCTTCTGAGGCATCTTTGTAGCCCAGAGACAGTCGTTTTCTCCGGATTTCTTTGGACATGAAATCCAAAAACTTCAGGCAAGTTTCTTCGTTCCACATGTGAGTCTTCTTGCATACATGTTCTACATGCAAAGTTCCCTGGTACTGACTGTTGACCTCCGACACGTCTTTGTCCGAAACTTGGCCATCACCAAATGTCACAAACAAAGGCCCCAGCTCACCATCGCACCACGAAATGGTGGTTGTTGTGCGTGGGTTTCTCCAAGCCTGGCATGTCACAGCTGCACCGTAGCCAGAGAGCTTGGCTAGGTTCTGCTCCCACGAAGCCCTTTTCCTTGTTTTGCATGAAACATGCAACTTTAAGCATTTATCTCTTTGGTATTCCCAGGCTGGTAGGGCAAAAGAACATATATTCAAATCTAATCCTGGGCAATATATCTCTCTCTCTATCTATCGATCTATCTATCTATCTATTTCTCTCTCTCTCTCTCTCACTCCCTCTATCTCCCTACCTCTCCCCCTAGATAAAAATTTACCATACCAAGTGGCTCTGGAAACTCAGCATCTTGGCCAAAATGATCGGCCAAACTGTTCGCAATCTTCTTCCTGGCACCAAAGCGTTGCAGCTCAGATTGGGCACCAGCATCTCCATTCTTCCATATCACCTTGCGCTTCGGCTCGTACAAACCTTGAGAAGCGGAGAGGATGGACCACCCCACTTGCCATGTTTCCACACTGCGTGTGCTTCCTAAGAAAAAAGATTCCTTCAATGTTTGTAACTAAGAAGTTTCTCAACTTAATACATATTTTGGTGCGGTGTTGTGCACAAACATATGTACAGGTATGTGTGTGCATATATAGAGTTATATATATATATGCATATATACATGGCATACGTGCATATGTGTGCGCATACTTATAAATATAAATATATATCTACATATGTGTTTATGTCTTTAATAGACTCAAATGGTGTGTTGTCTCACCGATGCTTGGAAAACAGGCTGCCCTGACTGATATTCCCTTCTTAAGATACTTTTCTATCTTTAGTATCCCCCAGCTATTTTTGGGTGTGGACAAGATTCCCATATCCCTTTATTGGTTTTTACTTTTCTATCTTTAGTATCCCCCAGCTATTTTTGGGTGTGGAGAAGATTCCCATATCATCCCTTTATTGGCTTTACTTTTCAGTCTTTAGTACCCCCCAGCTATTTGTGGGTGTGGACAAGATTCCCATATCCCTTTATTGGGTTTTACTTTTCTATCTTTAGTATCCCCCAGCTATTTTTGGGTGTGGACAAGATTCCCATATCATCCCTTTATTGGCTTTTACTTTTCTATCTTTAGATCCCCCAGCTATTTTTGGGTGTGGACAAGATTCCCATATCCCTTTATTGGGTCTTACTTTTCTATTTTCAGTATCCCCCAGCTATTTCATGCTTCGACAAATGTTGACCAAAACTGCCTTTGATGTGTTTTGCAAGAAGCAGGTCCAAACCTGGTCCCAATTGAACATCAGCCTGCTATCGATCTTCTTCGTCTCCTTCAGGGACTGGATGTAGCTTGCCAGTCGCTTCATGGATGGGTGCTCCCTGCTCAAATGCTTTGATGGACGGTCTTGCTTGTAGCGAGCATACCCCCATGACTTGCAAAAACGAAGAACCAAATGCTCCATTTTCTTGTCGGTCCATTCATCCTTGGCAATCACAGGGGCCTGAGGAGGAGGCCGGTTGGCAACGGCCTCAAGTTCATCCTTGCTCAAAACGCCATTTGCGTCAAGCTCTGAAAGTCGTTCAAGGTGCTTGGCCTCCGACTCCTTGTTGAACTGTTCCGCCTCTTCGTTGTACATGTCGATGAGGCTGTGCATGAGTGTGGTCACCGACTTCGTGTCCATCTCAAGCCCTCTAGCGCATTCATCCATCAAGATGGCATCTGCAATCTTCAAGACCTCCTCTGGAATGGCCTCTTCACAAGGACCCTTGAACTTGGCATTGACCAAGCCCATCCTCTGTTTCAACCAACTTGGTACCTCATCACATCTCGTTGCCATGGCCGGCATCATTTCTGCGAAAAGATCCCACTTGAACCTTTTCCGTGCACCACCCCACTTGCTTTCACTGCAGCAACCGCTGAAGTACCCTGGTCGCTTTCTGGTGAGCATCTCCTGGGGCGAGATATGGCTTCAATGTAGAAACAAAAGTATCAAAACAGATATAAACATAGAGTTACACATATAAATAAATATATACATATATATATATATATAAGCATACACATGGCATACATGCATATGTGTGCGCATACTTATATAAAACAGTCCGTTTATAGTAATGTATGTGTAAATGTAAATATACAAGTATCAATACATATAATCTACATATGTATGTATGTGTTTAATACAACTGGTGTGTTGTCTCACCGGTGCTTGGAAAACAGGCTGCCCTGACTGATCTTCCCTTCTTAAGATACTTTTCTATCTTTAGTATCCCCCAGCTATTTTTGGGTGTGGACAAGATTCCCATATCCCTTTATTGGGTTTTACTTTTCTATCTTCAGTATCCCCCAGCTATTTTTGGGTGTGGAGAAAATTCCCACATCATCCCCTGTATGGATATATACATATATATATATATATATTTTTTTAAAAAAAATATAATAGCCTATTTTGGGGTCTAGCATTTTCCCTTTTATAGGTTGAGTTGGTGTCCTTGTTGGGTCTCAGGACACCACTGTTCTTTACCTCCTCAAACTCCTTGAGCAAAGCCAATTTCTTGGCGATGGACAAACAGTCACCCTTTTGGCCAAGCTTGTTCGTGACGGTCGTGCTCACGGTTTCATCACCAGGATTCCTCAGCGCTGGCAAGAATAAATCAGTTGGAATTCAACTGCAGAATGTTGGGGCACCATAGTGGAAGGGAGATGCATATGATACATACAGACATACATGCATGCATGCATACATACATAGCTATACATATATATATATATATGCAATATAAATACACCTTAATACACATATCTTGCGGAACCAATACAGACCAATATGTGGTTTAGTTACTTTTCTATCTTCAGTATCCCCCAGCAATATAATGGATCATGGGGGTACGTTCTGTTGCGATTAATAAATCTAAAGGAAAAGCATCAAATCCGGCAGCGTTGGCCCAATGGTGATGAACCCATGGCATTGCTGGGGCTCTCAGAGTGCAGTTCAAAAAGGCCCCAAGGATGGCCCAAGTATGTCATAATGAGGGGCTCATTAAACATCTTTGTCTATGTATGTGCATATATATATATATATATATATATGCATTTAAACTTTGGATAGATTTATACATATATATACATACACTTATAGTATGTGGCAGGGGTCGCTATTGATATTGATGAGGTTCTTTTCAATCTTCTGTATCTCCAGGGGAAAATATGGGGGACACACAAACAAAAAACGTAATGTCCTCGACTAGCATCCCATCATCTGAAGGTCGCTGCTTGCTGTTCTTCTTCTTCTTCTCGTCCGGTTCCCCACTGTCTCCTTCTGGAGGCTGGCGAGTGTGCCGTCTTTTCCGGTTGCACTTGGGCTTGGCTGGGGAAGCGCAATCTACGCGAGCAGCCACATCTTGCCAGGCATTGTGACAGACCAACGAAGAGATGAAATTGGCCTGGAGCACGGTGGTTGGGAAGGCATTGCCGGCCATGTCTTTAGCCAAACCTTCAGGTAGCCTTTCAATTTCTTCGGGGTGAGGATAATCGGATCCAAAGGAGCCCTGTAAGCGAAGCAGCTCAGTTCCAACAAATGGTCTTCCGGCCAAGCCGCAAAATATCTCATGGGATGGACGGACGCATGTGCTGGCCCCCACCATGTACTCTAGCCTGGCTTCTGAGGATCCCATGTGCATACACAAGGGGCCATTTTGTTTGGCCCGCTTCACTTTGGATTTGATGAGCTGCCAGTTGCGTACATCTTGGGGTGCCTGTAGAGGACGCTTTTCCAAATCAGGGAGCAAGATGTCTTCCAAGGTGAACTGCTGAGAAGCGGGGCCCATTCCCAACTTGCCAAACACATGTTTCCACTGCTGTTTCTCGGAATCCACTTGCTCAGGGGTTTTGGCACCTTTGTGAGAAGAACATCCAAAGACACGATTTCTCCTTTGTGGCAACAAGTAGTTGTTTGTATCCACCTTGGAGTATGAAAAGGCATGCCCCTTGTTCTCCAAGTCCCGGATCAGGGTCTCGATCAAGGGTGGGCGCGCCACCTTGTCAGCGTCTGAAATGCCTCAGGTCCAAGGCGGTCACTGAGAATGGCTGAGTGAGGGCAATGGGGCGGTAAACCTGGCGTGGGTTATTTCTGCGCCAACTTGGCCATACCTATATATATATATTATACTACATTGGTATGTCACCAAATTTCAAAACCTTTAATGCGAGGATCCCCAGGGGTCCCTTTTCTATCTTCAGTATCCTCAAGCTAAATAGCTAATCGGAGGGTTTGGTTCTCTTCGGGGTATCCCTGGTTTCTCAGCAAGTAAACATCCCACCACAAGAGTTTGACAAGGATATCTTTCTCTGAAGTCTATAAATATATGATTATATTCACAAAATATGAAAGCAAGAACAAGAGAAAACAACATACTCACCCAATCCACAGATCTTTTTGCTAACCCGGGATCCCCATCATTGGCTCCACAATTCCAACTTTTCTGCCTTCTGTATCCCCCAACTGATTTGTGGACAAGGGCCATAGGTTCCCATGGAAAAGATTACAGGGGCGGTAGACCAAAAATCATCATTTTTTGGTTGCGGGCCAAATGGACACTTGGGTAATTGGGATATCTATGGTTTCATCCCCATCATTGGCTGGCTCCACAGTTCCAACTTTTCTATCTTGTTATCCCCCAACTGATTTGTGGATAGAGGCAATATTTTCCCATGATGAACATATAGTTATATACAGGAAAGTAAATAGATAGATGGGAAACCAGTTGTGCATCTCCCCGTCCACAAAAAGGATCAACAGTGAATATCAATCCCCATTTGTGGTTCAGTCCCGCTTTTCTATCTTCAGTATCCCCCACCTAATTTGTGTTTCCCGTGGTAGCCCAATTTGGGGGGAGAGTTTGGGATGCCCGCCGCAGCACTCACATGTTTCGAACAGGATGTGTTTTTTCCGGGCAATCCAATCTCACCTGCATCTTGATGCGGCTATGTACTCCGAAAAGGGTGCCATTTCACCGCTTTTTTTCTGGATTTTTTTCAAGCAGTTGGCACACACAGAGTAGGCTGTCAAATCTTGGCATGGCACGCACGTTTGGAAAAGGTGAACCTTCAGGGAAAATTGAAATTGATGCGGTTCAAGCAAATGTGTGATTTTAGTGGGACTCCCTTTCAGCTATTTGTGGCCCTTTGTGTGGGTGGATTCAAGCGAACAAATGTTTACGACGGGTCCATGCCAACAACCGACAAGCCTTATTTGCCCGGGAGGACTGGTACACAAACTTCAGATCTTCCACCTGGTTCATGTCCATTGTCTTAGTGTGATCCGTGGGTAAAGGGCTCATGTGCACTGTTGGGCTCTTCTTGGATACAGGCTGACTGAAGCCTCCCACGAATAAAGCCACAGCATTGTAAGTATCCCGCGCGATGCAGGCCATCACGTAGACAATCAAAACGTAGAAGTAAAAGTCTGACATGGCTGTGCTACGGTTGATGCGATCTAGACACAACTTGAGCCCCTAAGAAATGCCTGCCAGCAAGCCACGGGTTTTCTATCTTTAGTATGGTCCCCATCTTAACACATTCCCTGTTTCTACTCTAAAATGGATATCCCTTCTATTTTGTTCGGGATTGACCCAGTCTCCAGTATCATTTGCCTGCAGGATACTAAAGATAGAAAAGTGATTCGAAAAGGATGCCCCATGGTGATTCCATCCACTGAGCCAAGATGCGTTCAGCGACCGTCTTCACATTCTCATACAGAGAAACCAAGGCTTTGGTCAGGGGGATCATGTCACGGTAGCCAGATTGGTAAGTGATGCCAGAAGCCCCCGCCCCAGTTGCAAAGCACGTTGCGAAATCTGCGTTGGAGGTGCGCTCCCCGCTGATAGATGTGCAGGCAGTTCCTGAGATGATGACATCAACTCGTGGTACAGCACACTCCGCACCATGGATATCGCAATGTCCACGGCCATTTGCTGCAAGGTCTTTCACATCAGCAAACAGGTGGTCCACTTTTCCAGCATGAGCTCTTGCAATAAAACTTCGTTTCTCCTCTCATCATGTGGAGACTTGAGGAAGGACCTAACACATGCAGAAGCAATTTCTATGCAAACATATTATATAAATATATGCATGTGTTTTCAAACGAGGAACAATGAGAGACTAAAGGGGAGCGCATCTTGAAAATACTGCAAATATGCTGGGAAAAAGGCTGCCCTGACTGATACTCCCCTCTTAAGATACTTTTCTATCTTTAGTATCCCCCAGCTATTTGTGGATGTGGACAAGATTCCCATATCCCTTTTTTGGGTTTTACTTTTTTATCTTTAGTATCCCCCAGCTATTTTTGGGTGTCGGGAAGATTCCCATATCATCCCTTTATTGGGTTTTACTTTTCTATCTTTAGTATCCCCCAGCTATTTGTGGTTGTGGAGAAGATTCCCATATCATTCCTTTATTGGCGCGCCGTTGCGGCACTCTGACTTTTAGTGTGTACAATACATATATATATATGATATACTAAAAGCAGGGCTGTAACTAGTCCTTGTGAAGCTCTGCTGCGAAGGCCACCCTCGAGGACACGTTTGTTCCAAACCGCTCATTCAGGGCCGCAAAAGTCTTTTGAATGACCATGCCCCCAGTCTCCAAACCACTGCACGTAGTCCCAATCATAATTGGTTTCCCACTGAGCATTTGGCAAACCCCTTGAAGGTAGGAGTATTCCGCAGGGGAAAGAAGGTCAAGGAAGTAGTGAGCAGTTTCCTTCAAGGATAGTCCCGGCTTCCTGCCATTCAACCACTGCACTTCTGCAGATAGCCTGCGCTTTTCAAAGATGAACAATAGAAAAAAAAAGAGTTGCTGCACCTGGGTGGAGTCCGAAAAGGAGAGTCCACTGCACAAAACGGTGGTTTGATGAGATACCAGATTTAAGGGGAACAGGCTGGAGCAAACATGCGTTTAGAAGAACCGAGATGCCTGCAAAGAGGCTTGAGTTCCGCTGCAGGCACAGCTCGCACTTTCGGGATCACACTTCTGACCTGGCACTGCTGTTCCATGGTTCTACTTATAAATCCGAGTGCTTCTCCCTTTACATTGAGGTATCCCAAAACCACTCATTTTCCACTAAAAAAATGCAACTTTAGGTGATTCGGGGTATTTGGAAATTGTTTCCCCAATCCTAAGCTGTTCTTATCTTCAATATCACCCGATATCACCCATTCTTGCTTTCCCCACAAAAATAAAGGGGCACATCGGAAACTTCCTCAACCCATCTTGCCGGGTGACTGCTAGAATTTCCCCTAAGCAAAACTTTTCTATCTTCAGTATCCCCCATGGACCTCACATACAAAGGGTGCCAAAAATATGTCAGATTCCGCATAACTAGGGGCCTACATCATAAACTTCCACTGCCTACCTTGCGGGGTGACCTCTCATATATTTTAATTTGGTTTCCCCCAGCCAAAACTTTTCTATCTTTAGTATCCCCCATGGTCCTGACAAATTGGGGCCTACATACATGTCAACAGTAGATTGTACTCATACATATAATTGATTTATGTTTCTTCTTGAGGGTGAACCAAAATTAGTATGTGGTCTTTTGATGGTACACACACCACATTTATATATATATATATACACACACCCTGGTTTTTGCTGTGATATTCCCCAGCTAGGGTTCCCCAGAAACTTAGACCAAGCCACTGGCGAGCACCATTCCACAGTGGTGGCTGCTCTTTGAGGGGACGCCAGCGTCACTGCATAAACAACTTTGCCTTCCTTGAGTCTCTTCTTGAGAGCGCTAGCAGGGTCAACGTCCGAGGGATTGCAGCCTGGTAGGCCCTCCCATGATTTGAAGGGTTTCAACGACTGGAATGTCTGAGTAGCCTCAAATTGGACGGAGCCAAGAAGCGTAAAGCCGAGGGATTTCACACAGATATGTACCCGCCCATGAGTGCTGCGCTGGGAGCGCAACAGGTAAGTTTGGTTTCCTGATAGAATCCCTTCTGCTTCTTCTTGTGAAAGTGTGATCAGCAGCTGCGATTCGGCTTGGTCCTCCGTGCTCGTTTGTGGTTTGAGCAACCCTTCCCAGAAGGATGGATCAACTTGCATGAACTTCATGCAGCCAAGCTTTGGCTGGAAATCCAATGGCTCCTCAAACATCGCAGCATCCTTTACGACCCATGCGTACAGGTCTTGCTTCAAGAATGGCAATTCAAACCTTGGTTGTCCAATCAAATGGGAATTGATTAGGGAACTTTTCTATCTTTGGTATCCCCCATGGAAATCGGAACATGTGTATATATATGTATATATATATATGTATATAATATTGTTATATATCAAAAACACATGCCGCATATGTATTTACATATATCCATGTACCATACAGATATAGAACTTGATAAAACAAATGGGTCGATAGGCATCCCCAAATAGGAACTTTTCTATCTTTGGTATCCCCCATGGAAATCGGAACATATGGTCACTTATTTATATATATATGTTGTCATATATCTAATTTACACGCTGTATAGATAAAGAACTTGATAAACCAAATGGGTCGATAAGCATCCCCAAATAGGAACTTTTCTATCTTTGGCATCCCCCATGGAAATCGGAACATATGTATTTGTAAATATATGTAGGTTTCTATATATTAAATATATATTCTTTGTTGTAGAAATCAAATATACATGCTGTATTATTTCTATTTACATATACTCATGTATCATACAGAAAAAGAACTTAGGTCGATAAGCATCCCCAAGTAGAAACTTTTCTATCTTTGGTATCCCACATGGAAATCGGAACGTATGTATAATATTTTTGTTTTTTGTCAAATATACATGTTGTATACTCTATATATGCATCTAGTCATCTATCAAATATATATGTATATAGACATACATATATATATTTATGTATTTATTTGTTAAAATTTTTGTAGGGATCCCCAAGCTAGCTGGTGGGTTTTGAAGGGGCAAAATGAAAATTCATTCCCCGAGTTTTAATGCACAAGGTGCTCTGACTCGGACACGCGGTGTCGATCATAGGTTTCTGCCTTTGAAGACTTGTCAAAAGCAATGCAATCTACGATGTTGACGGTTCCAACGATGGATTTGGACCCCTTCTCCCACAGACCAACTGTACCTCCTTGGATTTGGCATCCGGTTGAAAACGCATGTCAAAATGTGTATATATACTCACATCTATATATATATATATATGCTCTGCTGGATATGCTTTGGGAACCAGATAGGAAGGGAAGAAAAGATGTCAGACTATATGTCAGAAGATCAGGAGCAGGTCCAACGGAGAGACACAACGGGGGGACCAAGGACACGAGAGCCGCACCTAAACGGGGAAGGTCGCGACGGGAAGACACGAGGGAAACAACAGGACAAGGAGAAATATCACGTTTATTGCGGGTAAATTGGAAGAAGTGCCTGTGTAAAGTGAAAAAGTTAAGATTTTAAATTGATTTTAAATTGCGTATGTTTTTTTAAATATATGATTTGGATATGTTTTGAATGTGCTTTGAAGGTGACAGATAGTATGTCAGAAAAAGATGTCAGATAGTATGTCAGAATATTTCTGAGAGAAAATGCCAGATAGAAGCATTAATGTATATATATATATTTGTTTGTATGCATAACTCGTAAATGTCCATAAAAAATGATTCCCGGAAGCCAACTGACTAGAAAAAATCATGATGCAACCCGGAAACGGGTTTTGGTTTGGTAACTTCTCAGCTCCCAGGTCTTTTCCCCGGATGCTAAAAGTCGGCACCAGGGTGGGGCCACGCATACCAACTGCTTCACATCGATCAAGGATTCAATGTCGGCCTTCACCAAGTTGGAATTTTCCTTGATGGCTGGGACGTGAGGCTCACCATTGTCATCACCAAAAAGATCCGTACAGTCATAGGCTGTGTTGCCCATTTCAGCCTCCTGGTTGGTGTCAACTTCGGTATCCACCTTCTGATCCATGTTGGTGGCTTCGGTCTCCACTGTCTTGTTGGTGTCAACTTTGGTCTCCACCTTCTGGTCCATGTTGGCGGTTTCGGTGGGGTCTACACTGATGTTGGTGCCAACTTCAGTCTGCAAATTGGTCTGCGCCTTTGGTGTCGCCGGAGTGTTGGTGCCAACTTGAGTCTGCAAATTGGTCTGAGCCTCTGGTTTCGCCGAAGTGCTGGTGCCAACTTCAGTCTGCAAATTGGTCTGAGCACCCTGCTTGCATATCTCAAAAGCCATTTGTGCACCAGACACACTAAACCAGTTGAGGAGGTTCTTGGAGCCAGGCTTCTTTTTAGCACCCGGTGTGCTTTTGGCCGGTGTTTGACCAGGCGTCTCATCAGGCTCCTCATGCACCTCATTGAGCTCATCGAACCTCAAAGAGAAAGATTTCAAATCATGTTGACTGAAAGGAGAGGAGGAGAGATCGTTGCCATTCTTGCCAATGATGCTTTCGATGCTATCAGCAAATCTCGGCCTCTCCATGCAGTGATCCACATGCTCGTGTGCAGGAAGCTCGATGCTGCCTGCAAGGGTTGAATGGGCATGTCGGAAACCCTTTTCTATCTTCATTATCACCCAACTATTTTGCCCACCGAAGGCCAACTATGTTCTATATATAAGTAGAAATACAAATAGAAATAGAAATATATATATATATATAAATTATATTATATATATATATTTTTTAATTCCACAAACTGGTAAAGTACAAATATGCTCAAAAGTGGTTCAAAAGGGGTTGATACAACCCATTTGTGTGTTAACACCAACTTTTCTATCTTTAGTATCCCCCAGCTAATTCGTGGAACCAGGACTATGATCCCCATAAACTCTAGTGATTGCTATTCAGCAGTAATGTGGCAAGCCCCAACCAACATATGTTGGTGGTATTGCTGTCAATACCTCCTCCATGAAATAGATGTAAATATCTTTATTATGTGGTTATGTTTTATATAAATACAAACACGTTCACAATTGGATGACAAGGGGTTGATCGACCCCATTTGTGTTAACACCAACTTTTCTATCTTTAGTATCCCCCAGCTAATTCGTGGAACAAGGGCTATGATCCCCATAAACTCTAGTAGTGAATTGCTGTTCAACAGTAATGTGGCAAGCCCTGACAAGGGGTTGATCAACCCCATTTGTGGGTAAACACCAACTTTTCTATCTTTAGTATCCACCAGCTAATTCCTGGAACCAGGGCTATGATCCCCATAAACTCTAGTGAGTTGCTATTCAACATTAATGTGGCAAGCCCTCACAAACATATTTTGGTGGTATTGCTGTCAATACCTGCTCCATGGAACAAAAGTGTATATATATATACTCTTTCAACAGGAAGTGGTTAAATTATATACTGCATATACGCGTTCACAAGCGGTTCTGGTTGACAAGGGGTTGATCGAACCCATTTGTGGGTTAACACCAACTTTTCTATCTTTAGTATCCCCCAGCTAATTCGTGGAACCAGGGCTATGACCCCCATAAACTCTAGTGAATTGCTATTCAATGGAAATGTGGCAAGCACGCACAAACATATGCTGGTGGTGTTGCTCTCAATACCTGCTCCATATAAGTATATATATCTATATTGTTTCAACAGGAAGTGGTTAAATTATATATGTATACACACTCACAAGCGGTTGATCAACCCCATTTGTGTGTTAACACCAACTTTTCTATCTTTAGTATCCCCCAGCTAATTCGTGGAACCAGGGCTATGATCCCCATAAACTCTAGTAGTGAATTGCTGTTCAACAGTAATGTGGCAAGCCCTGACAAGGGGTTGATCAACCCCATTTGTGGGTTAACACCAACTTTTCTATCTTTAGTATCCCCCAGCTAATTCGTGGAACCAGGGCTACGTTCCCTACAAGTTCTCATTGCTCACCAAAGAAAGAATGAAGTTAACCCAATGATAGGCAAACTTTTCTACCTGCAGCATCCCCCACCCTATTTGGTGGGTCAATAGCTGTCTTTTGAACGTAGATATTGGTTGTTTCTGCCCTAGCCTCGAAGCTTGTGCTCATCTTCAAGAAGAAGGTCAAAGTGGCCGCAGTCCCCACCCAAGAACTTGAACAGAAAGTGACCTTCCAGGCTTCCAGGCCCAGAACCCACCAATCCGGCTTCCTTCATGGAAACAAATATACATATATATACACATATACATACACACACACATATATATATATTTATACATCTGTTGTATACATATGTGAAAAAGCAATACGAACATACAAACACCGTGTTTTTGGTGTTCAAAATGAGATCCCCGCCAGCAATGGGTCCATCAGGTTTTCCATAAAAGGCATCTGAGCTGTACTGTTCCCCGAAGTGTTTCTGGGCATTCTTGGCGGTGGTGATGCGAAAGCGACATCCGAAGGACAACCCCACAAGATGGGCAACTTCGAAGGTCATTTGTTTGGACTCCTGGCACGTATCCGAGCCAACCGTGTATATATATATATATACATATCTCTCTCTCTCTCTCTTTCTCTCTCTCTCTCTTTTTATCCATCTACCTACCTACGCACCTATCTATCTGGCTATCTATCTATCTTTTTATCAGACAGAATGTCAGAAAGGATGTCAGATAATATGTCAGATTAGGGCAGCAGATCCAACAGAGAGACCCAACAGGGGGATCAAGGATACAGGGCGGCATGTCACAACAGAGATGTAGAAACATTGAAGCACATATTCTAAGTTCAAAATCTTATTGAAGCACATGTTCAAATTTGAAAAAATGACATTTTTTTCGAAAAAAAATCTTTTAAATTTCATTCCCATACCTTGAAAATGATCCACTGAATGTTTTAACACTGGTTGTGGACATAATTTATGGATAGAAATGTCATTTTTCAGCATATTTTGACAAAAAAATATTTTGAAAAGAATCTTTTAAATTTCATTCCAATACCTTGAAAATGATCCACTGAATGTTTTAACACTGGTTGTGGACATAATTTATGGATAGAAATGTCATTTTTCAGCATATTTTGACAAAAAAATATTTTGAAAAAAATCTTTTAAATTTCATTCCAATACCTTGAAAATGATCCACTGAATGTTTTAAAACTGATTGTGGAAATAATTTATTGATAGAAATGTCATTTTTCAGCATATTTTGACAAAAAAATATTTTGAAAAAATCTTTTAAATTTCATTCCAATACCTTGAAAATGATCCACCGAATGTTTTAAAACTGATTGTGGACATAATTTATGGATAGTTTTTTTAGTATCAAATTATTCAGTAAATATGTACAATTTTAACATTTCAATGTATTTCTCAAAAGCAACTTTTTCTAGTTTACAAACTATAAAAGTGACATTTCTCATTTTGCATCATTTTCCCGTTGTTCTTCTCCCGTTGTGTCACCCCGTTGTAACACAGCCATGGCTCCCCAGCTCCGTAATGCAACGAGTCGGCCGGCTGGCGCTACGAGTCGGTGTTCCGCCAACGCGCGCGTGCCGCGCGCGCGCGTTGGTGGAAAGGCTGAGAGGCACAGCGGAAATTCGGATCTCGGGTACCTCGTTGCATTCGGATGGGAGGTGAGGCCGCCGAGACACAATGTGGGTGTTACAACGGGGTGACACAACGGGAGAAGAACAACGGGAAAATGATGCAAAATGAGAAATGTCACTTTTATAGTTTGTAGCTCCTTATATGCAGCATGCCAGAAAATGATTTCAATCTTGTTGCCTTCCCATGTAACCCCCAGGGGCTTGAAGATTTGCCTGGCTTGCAGTAAATTCTTCGCTGGCTATAGCCAATGGGCACTAGCCCAGGGATTTTAGATGGCTGACCCAGTGGTATAACTATATATATATATATCTATCTATCTATTTATTTCTCAATCTATCCCTGAACCCAAACAAATTGGAAGAGAACCCTGTCACATGTTTGCTTTTAATACCCCTGTCCAGCACTTCCTTCAGCAAACATGTCTCTTCATCTGTAGCAGCAGCAGAGATCATCTTGCCCATGACTTCCTGCAAAAGGGACTCGCCGATGTTCTCCTCAATCTTGAGCCGAACGCGAGCTAAAGCATAGCCCAACTTGCTGCGCTCCACGCCGAACCAGTCCTCTGGAGATGACGCTGCAGCCCAGGAATACCAGAAGCACCGCCCATCTGGCGGTATGGCATGGACCTTGTACTTGATGGGCTTGGCCGCCTCCCTCCTCAAAGATTCTCCCACTGCGCATCTTACCTGAGAAAGTGAATTGGCTATGCAAGATTGACAAACCATAATTGAACGAAAACTTTTCTATCTTTGGTATCCCCCACCCAGTTTTGGTATTTGACAGGATTTGGGGTCAAAAAGCAAATGGTGAAAATTTACACCCCACACACATAGGTCGAACTTAAATTGACACTTTTCTATCTTTGGTATCTCCCACCTAGTTTTGGTATTTGACAGGATTTGGGGTCAAAAAGCAAATGGTGAAAATTTACACCTCACACACATACGTCGAACTTAAATTGACACTTTTCTATCTTTGGTATCTCCCACCTAGTTTTGGTATTTGACAGGATTTGGCAAATGGTGAAAAATTACACCCCACAAACATAGGTCGAAAAATTGTATTGACTCTTTTCTATCTTTGGTATCCCCCAACTAGTTTTGATGTTCCATGAGATTAGAGGCCGCAAATTCCAGCTTAAATAGCAACAAGTGTGTATGGTACATATTGGGTGTTTCTTGGGTCTATGCTCCCTGGTTTGCAAGCAAAAAACTGCTGTCCTTGAGGTTGATGCTTTGGATTCCACCACGCGAGAACCCAAAACTTTCACATCCTCACCGTTGACCCGGCGAGCAATGAAATCAATGGAGACTTCATGAGCAGTCTTTTTTTCGAAATCGGCTTCAAAGGCTCGAAAAGTAGCTTGGTACTCTTCCCCAGTGAAGTGCAAAAGCAAAGGGAATTTACACTCTGAAGTTGAGGCCACCTCCTGGAGCTTTGCAAACGTAGCTTCCGTAGGGTCCTTCGAGCCACCATTCGAGATGATCCCTAGCTTTGTCAAGCCTGCTTCCACCATGAAAGCGTCAGCGCTGTCCTTGTCGAAACCATTCTGAAAGACAATGCAAGTTGTAGGGCGCCAGGATAGGGTTGGGTGCCGGCTCCCCAGCAACACTCCCTCAACGTTGCCCTTGAGCGCAAGATCTTGCAGCTGGTCAAGGGTTGTCCTAAAGAGACGAACTTTGCTGAGAGGAATCTCTGCTCCCTTCGATTTCTTGAAGATCTTGCCGAAAATGTCCTCACCATCCTCGGACTTTCTCTTGTAGGCATCCCTTGTCTCGGGTTCCACGCTGATGTTTTGCGCCAAAATCTTGCTGATGGCATCAGCTGTTGCCTTCCTCGTTGCTTCGGCTTGTCGAAGTGCTTGAACGTTGCCAGCCAATCTGCCTGGGAATGGGTCAAAACATGCAAAACCCTGCAAAACAACGGGCTTGACTTTAGCCAGTCGGGTCTGTGTGTATCTATACAAATCATACCAATCTTATGCATATGCAAGGCTAAAAAATAACATGCCCTCGCCTTTGTTGTACAAAGAATTGACAGAATCGAACCAGAACTGCGCATCCTCTTCATGAAGGAAGATCTTGGTGATGGAGCCGAACGACTTGCCCACGAAAAAGGTTGCCATGTATTTCCCGGTGGTTTTGCAAAGCTGGATGCCATGAGTAGGCGACTTGGAATCAGCTGCAGGATCTGCCCCAACACAAGCTTGATAGGCAGCCCTGATCTTCTGCTCAAACGGTTTGCTCGTGCCTGCGTAAAGAGCCTCAGGGGTGAAGCCACTGTGCGTGGTTATCTTTTCCGTGTCCTGTTACCATGATATATATATATACATATATATATATACATATATATATATATATCCCTCTCTCTCTTGTTCACTCACGGTGGTCAATGAGTCAAATCCTTGCTGGGTACCAAGATAGAAAAGTGCCTAGGGCATAAATCCTTGTACAAACCTGGAAAATAGGAATCCTAGATTGCTTCGAGATACAAAGCCCATCCTCTCTGAAGGTGTATATAGATTTATATTCACATATGGTTTACATTGAACATTCGCAATCCAGTATTCCCTGCTGGATACTAAAGATGGAAAAGTCCAAAAAACAGGCAAAAGGAAGACACGTTACTCCAGTGGTACTTGTTGGTCAACACTTGCCTCTTCAAGGGTGTCCTGAAGAAGCCCTTTGGTCAGACGTACTCCATTTGGCACTTCAATGCATTGGTCGGCACAGAACACCTTGAGTTGCTCCAACTTGTTCAAGCCAAGCACCGTAGTAATCATCTTCTCGCAGGCAGTTTGGAACTGCATGGCCACAGCGATAGCGTTGGCCTCCCCAGCCCAAGCTTTGTGCTCAAACTTCCTCTGGAGCTGCTTTGTCAGCAGGGACTTGCAAACTACTGCAGCCTTCTGCTTCACGAACTTGCAGTAGACCCAGTTGTCTGACGGGTCTTTGCTGGATGCACTGGCTGCTTTTGCTGGCTCTTTGCTGCTGGATGAACTCGCTGCCTTTGAGCCTGGCTTCCCACCAGTCCCCTTCTCCTTCTGAGCCTCTTTCGGATTGCCCTTCGAAGCATCAGTGCAAGGTTTTGGCTGCTTCACCGTGGTTTTCCTTCTGGCTGCTGCCGCTGAAGCATTCGCCTTCTGTCTCTGTGCTAGTTGAGAAAACGCTGATTTTTTCCGGCTAGTAGCTTCTGCATCCATAGCAGCTGCAACGATCTTCTGGTTATAGGCAGTCTTCTTGGCTGGATCCCGAAGCACCTCCCAAGCAGCATTCACAGCTTGGATGGCTCGTGTAGCTTGCTTGTCATCCTCAGTAAAGAAGCTCAGCGCCCCAAAAAGGAAAAATAAATCCTGATTTCAGCATATCTAGAAGGTCAGTTCCTTGCTGGATATCAAAGATAGAAAAAATTGATGGACAAAAAACTTGTTGCATTTCAAAAATCATAATTGCACGAAAACTTTTCTATCTTTGGTATCCCCCAGCTAGTTTTGGTGTTTGACAAAAAGCAAATGGTGCAAATCTACACCTCACACACTAGGTCGAAATTGTATTGATACTTTTCTATCTTTGGTATCCCCCACCTAGTTTTGGTATTTGACAGGATTTGGGGTCAAAAAGCAAATGGTGAAAATTTACACCCCACACACATAGGTCGAACTTAAATTGACACTTTTCTATCTTTGGTATCCCCCACCTAGTTTTGGTATTTGACAGGATTTAGGGTCAAAAAGCAAATGGTGAAAATTTACACCCCACACACATAGGTCGAACTTGTATTGACACTTTTCTATCTTTGGTATCCCCCACCTAGTTTTGGTATTTGACAGGATTTGGGGTGAAAAAGCACATGGTGAAAATTTACACCAAAATTATACATTATGCATATTGTTTTAGTGCCATTTTCAATTTATATACACACATACGGGAACAAAATGTCCTTGACCCAGGAATTTGGGTACAGGATGAAGACACAGCTTACTGCTACCTGATCCCATCTCTAACCTTGAATCCCTTGCTAGATACTAAAGATGGAAAAATACATAAGACTTGGTATCTATATACAAACAAATGAATAAATACATATATATATATAGATATATTGCTGACGCGCCCCCCTTTCCTTCATGGGTCGGGGGATTCGACTGAGAACTGTATATATATATATATATACAGATAGATAGATCCCGTCCGTGTCCCGGGTTTGGGGGTCGAAAAACTTTGACCATCTGAAGATTTTGAAGACATTTTCAAAAAAACAGCGCCAAGATTCACTGCACTTATCAGGATGCACAACCTTCACCAAGCTCTTGTGGAGGGCCCTTACCTGGTCCGAAGAGCTGTTTGTGACAACCAGAAGCCGTCGGACGCGATCAGCTGGGTCAACTGGAAGCGCGGAGGGACAGGCAGCTTCTAGCCTTGGCTCGCTTATCACTGGCTAGGCGAAGCCCCGAGAAACCAGTCTTGGCAATTCTGGATATAATATTCACACATATATATATATCTCTCTCTCTCTCTCTGTCTGTGCGTGTAAGGTGGGCATGAAATTTGTGAGTGCACATTCACCTAGTTACATGGTTCTGTTTGGAACCCTTTTGCCGATCGACTATGGCAATGTGGGCAACTACAATATCCACGGTTGTTGGGACATCCACGGGTTGCCAAGCAGCACAGCATAGTGGTCTGACCCCAAGTCCACATGCTTCAGAATGTTCTGGATCTTCACAGCGGGCGACGCCATGATCCCAAACAAGTCTACTGTGCGCGTTGCCTCTCTTCCGCAACTTGTCTCTATATGCATAATATCTTAAATGCCCACAATTGTATTGAATTGGTGGTACTGGAACGCGTTGCCCCCAAACATCTACAGGACCTAGGTTTCTTGGATACCCATATATATATATATATCTATAGAATATAAAGCCCTACCTGGCACAGAGTCGGTTTTCAGGTGATTTGGACACTGTACATGCATTGCGGGCAGCGGCAGGGGGCAGTTGCCCCATTCGAATCTTTTGGCACAGAATGCAAATCTCCAGTTCATGGAACTTTTCTATCTGCAATATCACCCAACTGAATGTGACTTATAAAGGCATAGATGTGAGGATCCAGTTGTTCATTTGGATTTTTCCATCTTCAGTATCTCACAGCTATATGTTGATTGGGAATACATTGGGGGATTTCCGATTTTTGGTCAGAACAATGCGAACCTGACATTTCACACAACTAGTTTGCACTCCTGTGCCAATATAAGATGTATATGCTTTATTTGTGTATATATAATCAAGACCCCAATAGAAATACAAAACCATGTTGTTGGCCAATGATGACCGAAATGGTTCCAAATTGAACCGGGTAAACACCAACATTTAAACTTTTCTATCTTCAGTATCCCCCAGCTATTTATGGATTCCGCATGCGTTCTGGAATGTTGAATGTTGGACACGCTGTTTTTCTACTGCGCATATCCCCCAGCGATTTGCTGATTCAGCATAGAGTCTGGCATTTAGTTTTTAATTTGGACTTTTCTACCTTCAGTATCCCCAAGCTATTTGCTGATTTGGCATAGATTCTGGGATTGATTTCTGAATTTGGACTTTTCTATCTTCGGTATCCCCCACCTATTTGTGGATTTTGCATAGGTTCTGGGATTTAGTTTTTTAATTTGGACTTTTCTATCTTCAGTATCCCCCACCTATTTGTGGATTCCGCATACATTCTGGCATCTAGAGTGTTTGACACGCAAGCCGAAATACACATCCATGTTGTTGACCGGTAATGGCCAAAATGGATCCAAGTTACATGGGTAAACAGACAAAATGAGAAGAAAACAAACAAAAAGCCAATAAAGAGGAATGTGGAAGAGGATTCTATAGTTTCAGCTGGGGTTCATACATCATGCGTGTGCGGCGTGCGAGCGGCGTGCGAGTGGCAGCATCATAATCCAAGTTCAAACGGGAATCATTTGAACTTGTTTGCGGAGCAGCAAGAACTAGGCAAGAGGCTGGTGCCTCATGGTTTTCACCAACCTGGTGTTTTTCTACAGTGAACACTTGCTGATTCAGCATAGAGTCTGGCATTTAGTTTTTAATTTGGACTCTTCTATCTTCAGTATCCCCAAGCTATTTGCTGATTTGGCATAGATTCTGGGATTGATTTCTGAATTTGGACTTTTCTATCTTCGGTATCCCCCACCTATTTGTGGATTTTGCATAGATTCTGGCATTAATCAAGATCCCTGGGCTAAATGCCAGTCCCTATGCTGAATCAGCAAGTATTCACTGTAGAAAAACACCAAGTTGGTGAAAACCATGAGGCACCAGCCTCTTGCCTAGTTCTTGCTGCTCCGCAAACAAGTTCAAATGATTCCCGTTTGAACTTGGATTATGATGCTGCCCACTCGCACGCCGCTCGCCCTCCGCACACGGATGATTATTAACCCCAGCTGAAACTATAGAATCCTCTTCCAACATTCCTCTTTAATGCCTTTTTTGTGTTGTTTTCTTTCTCATATTTTGTCTGTTTAATTTAACCCATTAAAACTTGGATCCATTTTGGCCATTACCGGTCAACAACAAGGATGTGTATTTCCGGCTTGCCGTGTCACACACTCTAATGCCACAATGTATGCGGAATCCACAAATAGGTGGGGATCTGAACATAGAAAAGTCCCAAATTCAGAATCAGTCCCAGCAAACCTGCAGAATCCACAATAGGTGTGGGATACTGAAGATAGAAAAGTCGAAATGAAAAATTTGATCCCACAATCTATACATCCCGAATCTACAAATAGCTTGGGAATATTCACAAAAGTAAGTGAAAATCACCTGGATCCAGCCATCCCCTTGCGCCAGACCTGGATCCTGGTAGGTGGGTGGCTGGATCCAGGTGATTTTCACCTACTTTTGTGTTTGACACGCAAGCCGAAATACACATCCATGTTGTTGACCGGTAATGGCCAAAATGGATCCAAGTTACATGGGTAAACAAACAAAATGAGAAGAAAACAAACAAAAAGCCAATAAAGAGGAATGTGGAAGAGGATTCTATATAGTTTCAGCTGGGGTTCATACATCATCCGTGTGCGGCGTGCGAGCGGCGTGCGAGTGGCAGCATCATAATCCAAGTTCAAACGGGAATCATTTGAACTTGTTTGCGGAGCAGCAAGAACTAGGCAAGAGGCTGGTGCCTCATGGTTTTCACCAACTTGGTGTTTTTCTACAGTGAATACTTGCTGATTCAGCATAGGGACTGGCATTTAGCCCAGGGATCTTGATTAATGCCAGAATCTATTCAGAATCCACAAATAGGTGGGGGATACTGAAGATAGAAAAGTCCAAATTCAGAAATCAATCCCAGAATGTATGCCAAATCAGCAAATAGCTTGGGGATACTGAAGATAGAAGAGTCCAAATTAAAAACTAAATGCCAGACTCTATGCTGAATCAGCAAGTGTTCACTGTAGAAAAACACCAGGTTGGTGAAAACCATGAGGCACCAGCCTCTTGCCTAGTTCTTGCTGCTCCGCAAACAAGTTCAAATGATTCCCGTTTGAACTTGGATTATGATGCTGCCACTCGCACGCCGCTCGCACGCCGCACACGGATGATGTATGAACCCCAGCTGAAACTATAGAATCCTCTTCCACATTCCTCTTATTGGCTTTTTGTTTGTTTTCTTCTCATTTTGTCTGTTTACCCATGTAACTTGGATCCATTTTGGCCACTACCGGTCAACAACATGGATGTGTATTTCCGCTTGCGTGTCAAACACTCTAGATGCCAGAATGTATGCGGAATCCACAAATAGGTGGGGGATACTGAAGATAGAAAAGTCCAAATTAAAAAACTAAATCCCAGAACCTATGCAAAATCCACAAATAGGTGGGGGATACTGAAGATAGAAAAGTCCAAATTAAAAACTAAATGCCAGACACTATGCTGAATCAGCAAATAGCTTGGGGATATTCACTGTAGAAAAACACCAAGTTGGTGAAAACCATGAGGCATCAGCCTCTTGCCTAGTTCTTGCTGCTCTGCATACAAGTTCAAATGATTTGCATTTGAACTGTGATATATATGTATATATATATATATAGAGTGCCCCCCCATGATAGAAAAGTTTTTTCAGGATGTTACGTCCTGAAAACCGATGGGAGGGAGAGGGAGAGGGAAAGGGAGAGGGAGAGGGAAAGGGTGAGGGAGAGGGAGAGGGAGACGGGGAGGGGGAGGGAGAGGGAGAGGGAATGTTGACCGAAATTTCGGGGAGAAATTTCCTGATGAAAACCTTGCAAACATGGGAGATCCCAGAACGCATGCCGAATCCACAGATAGGTGGGGGATACTGAAGATATAAAAGTCGAAATGAAAAATTTGATCCCACAATCTATACATCCCGAATCTACAAATAGCTTGGGGATATTCATAAAAGTAGGTGAAAATCACCTGGATCCAGCCACCCACCTACCAGGATCCAGGTCTCGCGCAAGGGGATGGCTGGATCCAGGTGATTTTCACCTACTTTTGTGAATATTCCCAAGCTATTTGTAGATTCGGGATGTATAGATTGTGGGATCAAATTTTTCATTTCGACTTTTCTATCTTCAGTATCCCCCATCTATCTGTGGATTCGGCATGCGTTCCAGGATCTCCCATGTTTGCAAGGTTTTCATCAGGAAATTTCTCCCCGAAATTTCGGTCAAAATTTTCCCGTCGGTTTTCAGGATGTCGGGTCAAAATTTTCCCGTCGGTTTTCAGGACGTAACATCCTGAAAAAACTTTTCTATCTTCTCGGGGGACACTATAATTATATTTCAAAATGTATGTAATAATTTAGTAGATGTAAATACCCTAAATTCTTGGGGCCTATTCTAATAGATTAACCAAAGTTTGAGAAGGGGTATTCAAGACTAGGTGAATGAATGACACGTCTCAAACCGCAAACTGCCAAACAGTATACGTAGCGTAACTCCTTTATCTGACACAATTTGTCAAACAATCAGCAGCCCCCAAATTTATCCAAATGCGAACATCAGTACCGATATCCCGCCATAGGGGGTTATATCATATCCCAACTTGTGGTGGATTTTCACCACATAATCCACATCCATCAGGAGCTCATATTCCATGATCCATAGAATAGAATAAGTTTATTGGGTCTATCACATTATCTAACTTGTGGTGGTTACTTCACCCCATTGTCATTGATTTCATCATGGACATAAATATCGGTTTTCCCACTTATTGCTCCCATGCAAAATCATCATTGGGTTTACCACATGCATCGACATGCATAGTGGCTGCTTAACCTTGGTTATGACAGGGTAGCTATAATTATGGAGGTCAAACAAGTTGCTTATTATCATGTTCTACCCCCAACTCATAAATAGATGTAAATAGGGGGTTATATCCCAACATATCCCAACATATCCGAACTTATGGTGGTGACTAAACTTAACGTCTTATCCCAACTTATCAACAAAAATGGGGATCATGAACCAGTTGATGGGTGGTTTATCCATGTTTATCCCATTACTTATTGGGATTCTCCTTAATCCCATTTTTTTTGGTTTTATTCATTGGGTTTCTGAAACAGTTGATATGTGGTTTAACCGATTATTCTGAGTAAATTACAATATTTCACTAACCTGAAATAAGGCCATGGCTGGGGATGATTGCCCTTAACCATTATTCCCAGGGCTCGGTCGCCGTGAGGTCGTTATAGTTTACCCAGATATGTGGT